GGAAATGTACAGATGTTATTGAGTTAGACTTGAATCTGCACTATGCCCATAGTCTATTATAGCACCTATTAGCAAACTTCAATATCTTTTCCTGGCTAAGAAAAACATCCTATTGCATTTGTTTTGGTTCTCTTTCACTTTGAGTCATTATAGTAATACTGTTTCACTTCTTTGACCCGTTTCCTGTGTTTTTTAATGGTGTATTTTTCTGAATGGTGCAATTCTCCTATTCTCTTTGAAGCCCTCACAGTTAAAACAAGTTATGCAGATTATTCAAGCTCCACGCTACATCAGAGGAGCCCAGAGTCCAAAGCTAAAATTCACATAGGGCACTCTCCTCTCTCTCTCCCTCTCTGAATTTGGTTTGCCCTTTGTTCAGAGTGATAGTACTGCAATTGGAGTAGCTTTGAAGTCTTCTCTGGTACATGTCATTCACCATCATGATCTTCTCTGCATCTAAATAATTAGATGCATATTATTCCAGCTTTTGGAGTTTGGGAGATTGTCAGGAAATAAACATTTGGAGGCATTTAGTGGACTTCTCTCCAAAAATGCCATCATTGTGAATTCGATGGAAAACAGCTGAACCTAGGCGCCTCTGTCTTTGAGATTAAAGTGTCCATAGAAAGTGCTCATTGGATGGAGAAGAGAGCCAGAGCAGTATAAGAAAAAGTTTAAGTATGTAAGATTTGGAGAAGGGGAAGTGTGTTTGAACAGAGCCTGCTGAGAGAACCCGCTGCTTCGGATACGGTGCAGGAACACATCAAAGGCAGTGAAGTTTTATCAATGGACACAGGATTGTTGTGACCTCTGACCTCTTGGCTTTGCTTTGGTACAGACCTGGCAGGTGTACAGATCATGTATAGAATAGCTACTCTTGGTGCAGCTTGAGATTTCTAAGGCCTTTAGCTTTTACAAAATGTATTCTGTTGTTGCAGGATATTGGTTAAGGGAGGGATTCTCAAAGTTTTTTAGTCCAGGGATTCATTATTGGTAAGAAAATATCCTAGAACCTTTTACCGATTCTCATGCTGGCATCGTTCTAAAATTCAGAACTTTAAACCAAGTTTATGCCTATGTATGGATGAAAGATTAATTCGTCGTAGTCTTGTTTTATTGGTGTTGTTGTTTTCATCAATAATACAACAAATAAATCAGTGTTATCACAATTTTACACACATGGCCCAAGACACCACTTTGAGAACCATTGGGTTAAAGGTTGTATGGAGGATTTATTTTTTTTTGTTTCAAATTGTCAATGAAAGTTTAAAATACCATTACAGAGACACAGCAGCCTTGTAATTATGATGACCAAAAAAAAAAAAAGAATGAAAATCTATCAACTGTGAGCGTAGTGAGGCCACAGAAACATCAGCCAATAAAAAACGGGGCTCCCTCATTTTCTATTGGCTGTTAGGTTGTCAATCAAACTCAATACGTTTCTAGTGTAACGGACTCGCAGGCGCGCGGGGATTATATGGTTTATGGGGCGGTTCTTGGAGGCTTTTTCAAACTGTCGCTTCCTCGCAGTTCGCTTAAAGTTTGTTGCAATGCCGGACGAGAATCCAGGACCAGTTCACCGCAAAAGAAAGTCGGTTTTTGAGGTCACTGAAGGAAGAAGAGAAGGGGAAAATGAGCAAAGCCAAACTGAGGTGATTCTTGGAGGTTCCTTCCAGCGATTGCGCGAAGGAAGCAGGCGAAGGGTCTAAAAACTGACGCTCGGTCGCTAAATTATTTCTAGACGGGTCACTTCAACAGTAATTCTGAACGCGCACTGGCTGTAAACAAGCGTGATTTCTAGAGTAAAGAGGCGGGAGGAGGTGTTTGTACTGAGGAAGCTGTGGAGGAGGAAGGTGGTGTCACGCATGCACAACATTTGAAAAAGGACTGTCGCTGTATTTCTTTTCCCTTTAAAAATCCTCTATACAACCTTTAAGGGTTAGGTCAGTCATTAATAATTAATAGAAATAGGACTATTTTTGCCATTTTTGGTTCAAAATGTGTCATATATTGTTTTATGTTGAATAAGTTGACTTTTAGACTTTAAGACAGCGGTTGATATCTGATTTCAGCAGAACTATGATCAAAGTATTAGATAATGGAAGTGAAGCTGAATTTTTTTTTTCTAACTGGGTTGCCTTTACAGCCATGTGTATGTAAAATTTGTAGTAACAGACTAGAATCTGTCAACAGCTGATTTGTTTTGTTTCTTTTTTTTTTTCAATTCTGGCAATATTACTCAAAAACTCTATTTGATTTTGTTATCATTCCATTTAAATTAATAGTAATTCTGGATTGTCCTTCCTTTATAAGGTTTAGCCCCATGCTTGAATGTTATCACAGGGGAAAGGCCCACAGACAGAATGCTGCTCAGCTGTGTTGCTGTGGGAGTGGGAGGGGCCGTGCACTTGTGATGAGAGGGGGCTGAACCGTGTGATTGAAGACAGAGGGGAATCAGTGGATGTTGGAAAACTTACTCACGCCTCACGCTCGCCACGGACAACTTTGTATCATGGCTTTTGAGTGAGGACACCACCTTTTGTTGGCAGAAGTAGCAGCTTTGCGTATGGGCGACTATGCAGGGCCGAGCAGGGAAAGCCCCGAAGAGGGAGATGGTCATTGAGTCTCCACAGCAATACAAAAGTTTGGCTGAGATAGAGGCTGAAACTGAGGCAGCATCACAAGTGCAGGTGGTAAGTTTGAATTAATTTTTTTAAGCACATTTTTGCAGAACATTTAATTCTATAGCAAACCCATTAGTTGTCTGTATTACTATATGGGAGTAGCTTGCTTGTAGGAATTCTCCGTCTAAGCAAGTTTTTATCTTAGATTGGCTCTCAGCTTTGAAGAGATGCCTTTTTTTCCAGCAGGACGGAAAAGGGAAGTAGCAGCTTGAGGGTCCAGGTCTCCAGAGGTTTGAATGTTGATCTTTTTTTAGGAAATGGGCCTGTTTTGTCATTAACCGTTCCTGTGCTAGATCTAGAAGCCAGGCTAATTGCTTTTGGAGGATTCACTCTGACTATGGAGCTGTACTTTAACTTTTATTTTTGCAGCATTTTATCTTAACGTATATTCATTTGAGACTTTTACTGAGAAGTTCACAGTTCACATCTGTGTATTGTTATCCTTTTGTCTCAGTGGCACATGTCCAGTTGGAAATACGGTTGCTTTCTGCTTATCAGATGTTCCTCACTTTCAAAAAAAAACTATACTATACTAGTTATGGCTGGATATCTTCATTACCTTGTCATGAAACTTGGATTTTTATTTATTTAGGAGTTACATTTCTGTCATAATATTATTTAATTTGGATAAAATTGCAGTGTTGTCATTGAACTAACGCCAAATGGAACAGTCTGTCAAAGATGAGCTGCATTTTTGATTTATAAGCACATTTTTGCATGACGTACCCTTCCATTGTATTAACCAGGGTACTATAGGCTTAAAGGAAACCATGTATTCTTTCTGAGGAATGTACAGCACTGGTGCCAGCCGGGATCATGACCTAAGCTCCTCCCTATCTATAACACAGCACTGTTTACAAAGATGTGGAGTTATCATCTGACAAGGTTTTACTGGTACATCCCACGTATATTTATCCAAACCGTGTGTAAAAACAATCAAATGTACAATGATTATATTCTGTCTGGTTTGTATTTTGTAATGTAAGCGTATGACATAGGCTCTTATAATGAATGGTACACTCCAGCCCTTATGTTGACTCCTAACCACCATCTTTTGTCTTAGTGCCACTTTGGCTTGTGTTGCCTTCTATTGTTTGGTAGGACAATTGCATTTTGTTGTCCAGACTGCATTCATATTTTGGATTTGACAGAGTCTGAAAGGGACTGCATGATTTTTGGTGAGGAAAGATCAAATTGCAATTTTGTTTGAGCAGAGATTGAAATATACAAAACTAAAAGAAGGATAAGCTGTAGGCCTGTCACGATAATTACAATACTGACTTGTCATTCAATATATGAAAGCTGAAGCATTATATTTTGGAGCTCAGTATATCGTTTGTATAATTTCTTTGCAAAAGTAGAGAGATTTGAGCCATTTTTATGTAATACAATAAGATTTGAGATGTAGAGGGCTGAAGAAACAACTTTTATTGCTAATTATTGACTCATTCTGCCATGTATTTTATTATATTTTGATAATACTGTATATTTAAAAATTGGTTTACCAAGATCCTGCTTTGTGTCAGTGGCATAAAGTAGTTTCAGTATTATGGTTTATCTCAAAGTTTCTCTGTAGCAATACATCATGCTTTAAAATTTTTTATTGTGACAGGCCTAATCAGATGTATTTGTAGAGGTTTAAACTGATGGCAAAATATCCAATAAAGACTGCCCTACGTACAGTATGTAGTCGAAACACGTTGGCATTTTTTTTACACTGAAATCGTAAGCAAAGATCAGACATGCCTCAGATTTCTTTTCTTTATGAAATGCTATTTTGCCCTCCATCTCAAAGACATCCTGCTGAGCTACTTGTTTTACTTCCAAGATCCAGTGAACACTCTAAACCTCATTTCACCTCAAAACACAGGGTATTTGTTTGTGGAGAGCTTTTTCTATCTAAATAACAGTAACCTTTGCCAATATAATCAGTTCAATTAAAATTGCAGTTGTGGAAAGCTGGAACAGTATTTATTGTGTGTACATTTTCTTTGCTCTATTGGGAAATGTTCTGACTATATGACAAAATTTAAGCTGTAAAAGGTTGAATTAATCACTTTTATGACTTATTTCATTCTGTTTCATTCTGCTATTTATTTATTGCAGCTTTTTTAACAATATTATACATTTAGAATAGTTTTAAGAGGGATTGCTTTAAGGTCTTGTTTAGTGTCAGTGGCATAAATTAGTTTCAGTATAATTTTTTTTTAATCTATATTTCTTTCATCAACATATTACATCAAATTTGTTATAATTTGAACTCAGAATGAACTGAAACATATTTTATTACAACTGTGCTTTTTGTTTGTTGTTTAGGTGAAGCCAAAGATCATAGAGCCCCTGGACTATGAAAATGTGCTTCTCCAAAGGAAGACTCAGATCATCAGTGATGTTCTACGGGATATGCTGCAATTCCCACAAGATGATTTTGAGGTAAACTGGTACAACTGCTACTTCTAAATAGCTAGGCCTGTCACAATAAATACAAAATTGACTTATTGTTCAATATATGAAAGCTGGAACAATATTTTTGGGGGGTCAGTATTTTTTCATGTGTACATTTTCGTTGCACTACTGGGAAATTTGTGGTTATTTTTTGGCAATATGGTAAGATTTAAGCCGTAAAACTTTGAAATAATACCTTCTATAACTCAAAGTGTTTCATTCTGCTGTTCATTTATTGTACCAAATGCTTTTTAACAATATTGTAGATTTAGAATATTTTTGTGGTATAATTCTACTTAATGGTTTTTGTGTCAGTGGCATAGATAGTCTATAGTTACTTTATCAATATCTCAAGCTTCAAATTTTGTTATCGTGACATGCGTCTAGATAGTCATTTATTCCTTGTAATTAAAATGTCAACTCTCTCTCAACTCTCAGTAGTTGGTGTAAAATACTCTCTGTTGTCTTTTTGGCTGCTTGGTTGACATTGCTACATTTTCTCTCACTGCTTGCTGTCAGTGTCCTATGACTAGTTGTATTGTTGTGCTATCTCTTTCACTCCTACACATTTTTTTTTTAAAAACAACACCCAATTTTGTGTCAAGCTGAAATATTCTGGGAAACTTGGAAGTACTTTGGATAAGAATCTGAAAATGGGCGAGGCTTGCTATAAGAACACAAAGTTAAAGGTGCACTATGTAACTTTACTAGTAAGAGTCCAGCAGAGGACAGTTGGAATGTACCACAGTATGGCATTAAACTTCCTTATTATTTAACTATAACTGTTTTTCACAATAAAACAATAGCTTGGAAAAGATGTATTCTACTGGAACTGGCCCACCTCTCTGCAAATCAGACCTGTAAACTGGCTTTGTGCTTGTCTCCATGGAAATAGGTATATATTTTGCACAATGTACCTTTAATTTTAATCACAAAACACCTCTCAGATCATATATATGTGCATAAGTGAGCTTGCCATGTCCCTCTTCAGTGTCCATGATGTGTGGATATTCTTTTTTACTTTCAAAGAAGTTCAGAGTCTGTATCAACATGACATCAGCACGAAGCCACAATCTGTCTCTCCTCCCTCTACAAAGAATCGCTATTGTTTGACATTCCTGAATTCTTTGTTGGGGAAAAATACAAAAGTTTAATTTCGTAGTAGCTTTATAGTAAGGCAAAGTTGTGGGAATACTTGTATCTCCTCCTTGTTTCACAATCAAGAGATGATGGGTGGTTTTCATTACAAGGCCGTCTACAGCGCTATTACTAACTGCCCTATGCTTTTGTGCACTCCCAGCTCGGTCTGTCCATCTGTCTACGCTGCCATGTGTTTTACATCACTGCAAGGAAGAAAGAGGCGATGGCAGCCAGACGTTATGGGTGTAGCTTTTGCACGTGCCTGCACAGAATCACACATGTAATCACTGGACAGGCCGATCTGGTGCTGGGGCAGGGAAAAACTAGAGGGATCAGTTTGGACTAATGGCTTGTTTTGCTGTTACAACACTATTATGCTCATTAAAGGACCTATATTACACAAAATGAACTCTTGTGAGCTTTAAGTCATGTTATAATGCTGTTACCTCATCAAAAAAGTTGTTTTGTTTCATTCACACAGGTTCGAGTAACATTATTAGTCTGTCTACATCTCCAAAGCTCAAAATGCTCTGTTCTACCTTGCGATGTCATGAAGTGGTAGTTTTCAAGTTAACAGCTACCTTTGCCTTTAGTTTAGTAAGAAGAAGAGAGTTTTCAGTTTGAGAGAAGAACTCTGATTTGCAGGGCTTGTGTGTTAAACATGTGTGAATGAAACAAAACACAACTCCAGGTATGTGAAACAACATTATAACACAAATCAGAAAATAGCATAATGTAGGCCCTTTAATTGTCAAATTTCAGCTGGCCAGATTTGTACACAGTCTGAAAAAGCCCATTTTTATATCGTATAATACAGTATAGGCACGTACTAAGGCCTTTACTATCTATTCGAGTAAAAGGTAGCTCAAATGTCTTACCTCTGAATTAATGACAGCAAAAGAAATGTAGTTAATTAGCAACCTGCAGTTTCAAAGTCACATTTAATAGATGGTTGGGGGCGTTGTCGAATTATATAATATGTTTGACAGTCTAGCAGTCACGATAAATTGGCTACAAAGGACTGGAAGGGCCATTACATTATCCACCAGAATGAATCCACAGTATATTTCCTCTCATCACAAATTCTACCATTTATCAAACTCTTAGGACTCTTGACCTACATAGAGATAATACAGGACCTTATAAATGAGCTTGCCTGTGCTCCTGACATGTCTGCGATAGTTATTGCTGCTGTAAAATGGACAGATGAGAGCAGAGGATCAATTGGCAGTGAGGGAATGTTAGATTTATGGTAAAACTAGGTCACCAGTCCATGCCACTGTTTCCAGCTCCTTCTTGTGGGGCAAGTAGAAAAGCAGAATTGGGAGCGATGGTTTCTTACACATCGTCCAGTGACTTGAAAGAGTTGCCAAGCTCCACTGAGTTAAAACCCTAAGGCTGTGTTTGCTCTTTGAATGGAATAAAATAGAATAAAAATATGCCCTTAGCTGCCTTTGGCTTTCTATCTTTAGCTTATGTCAGTATACCTTATTTATCTGTCCCATCTACTAGTGATGAGCAATATGGCAAAAGAACAGTTCAGTTTTCTTAACAACCTGGACCACAATTGTAATTCTCTCATGATTTTTGATATTTTTAGTTGCTTTATAGTGCCTTAAAAGTCCTATATTGCACAAAATTTAGCTTTAGGCCATGCTATAATGTTGTTACATCTTCAAAAACATACCTGTAATTGTGTTTTGTTTAATTCGCACAAGTTTGAGTAATCCTGTTATTAGTCAGTCTACATCTCCAAAGCTCAAAATGCTCTGTTCCACCTTGTGATGTCATGAAGTGGTAGTTTTCAAGTTAACAGCTACCCTTTACCTTTAGTTCTGTGGAGACAGGCAATTCCAGAGGTGACAATATCTAAATAGTTGTGGTGAAGATGTATGGAGTTTAAATACACAGTGGAGCACTTCCTGTATTATCACAAGGTGGAACATAGTGTTTTCTGTTTGAGAGAAGAACTGAGTCTAAATATGCAGGGTTTTTTGGGTATGTTAAACATGTGTGAATGAAACAATATAATTATAACAGAGATCAGAAAGTAGAGTAATGTGGGCCCTTTAAAAGTGCATTATGTAATTTTTTGTTGGCCTGCCAGATGCTTGTCTCCATGAAGACATTATTGCTTTTCCTGGACGGTCCTACACTATGGCATCAGCCTCATCTATTATGCTTTTATTCAGTTACAGGTATTTTTATAGCATAAACATTTTCGGAAAAAGTAGATCGGATCTGTAACTTGGCCTTGGAGATAGTGCTTACAAATGAACACAGAGCTGCATTTAATTGAATCTCTAATCTCCAAATTGGCCGATCCTTTTGTCTGTGATATTCTGAACTCCAATGGCAGGACATCAATGCCCTGCTAAATAACCAAAACATACAGTAAAACCCAGCATTAAACATTTGAACAAACATATTGAATTTATTGTGCTTTTGCTTTTGTTTTCTCTGTCTCTCCTCAGATATGCACCCTTAGGCGCCAGGGCCGGACTGTCTTTTCCACCGTGCCAGAGACTGCAGAGAAAGAAGCTCAGTGTCTGTTTGTGCAGGAGGTAAAACTGACCGCTACCTGGATTTATGCCTGCTTCGTCCACTCTGTATCTCACTAAAGCCTGTCTATCCTCGCTCTACGTTCCTTCACTTTTATCCAAACACAGGTGTATTCAAAAGCTTCAGAAATCTATCAGATACACCAGCACAGGCACAGCTCCAGTCTTTCCAATAATACATTGTTATTTATTTAACATAAACAAAGCACAAAGTCATTTTCACAGTAAGCTAGCGTTACGGAAAACACAGTATGCGTGTGATGATTTGATTAGCGCTGGCCTGTATGTGAACCTACATTTGTATGCATATGTAGCTAGTTGTTATTTCAGAGTGATATCAGGGTGCGGTCTGACAAAGCATGATACGAGATTGTCCCCCATCGCTACAGCCAGAAATGACATCATAACTCCATAGAGCAGCTCAGCTGGGGCCCCTAATACAGCTGGGATCTTTGGATTGCGTCAAACATTTTTTCCAGTCTTTTATTCAACATCTGTATTCTATGAAATTTCAAAACACGTTATTTGGATTGAAGGAAGTCATATGGGTTTTAGTGTAGGTTGAGTTCACGACATTCATCAGTATCTGTTGTCATATTTTAAGATGGAGAGCACACATCTACTGTATGGGCCATTCAGTTTTTTGAAAGAAATATCTAAACAGAAAATCCACAAATGTTGATCTCTATTATCTTTGTTTATATATTAATCAGTTATTAATCTAATCTTAATTATGTCCTTATCCTGTGGCACTGACACTCAATTTTGTGTCAGTTTGTATTCATGTAGTAGCTCAGTAATTACAGAGATCCATAAACCAGTTCAAAGCAGCTCCATTTTCACAATATAAAGGCTTCTATTTATTTTAAGCATTTTAAAGAGCCTGTATTACACTATTTTCTATGTTATATGTTTTCCTTATTACAAACACATCTTGTGTTTTGTTTCATTCACACATATTTACCACACAAATCCTGCATATTTATTTATTTAGTTCCACCTTGAGATGTCATATGGTAATCCATGAAATGCTCCACTGTGTTTTTAAACTCCATACACCTTCACTAAAATCATTTGGATCATTTCAGCCCTGGAATTGCCCGTTTCTACTGAACGAAAGGTAAAAGCTATAGTGAATGATACAAAACACAACTCCAGGTATCTTTTTGATGAGGTAACAACATTATAACACAACTTAAAGCTCATAAGAGTCAATTTTGCATAATATAGGATTTTTAAACTATAAACAATAGAATCTTATAATTTAATTTCTCTTTGTCTTTGCAGTGTATCAAGACCTACAAGTCGGACTGGCATGTGGTCAACTACAAGTACGAGGAGTATTCAGGGGACTTCCGGCAGCTTCAGAAGTGAGTTTGCGTGGTGTGTTTGGGTGTGCCGTGGATGTTTTTTGAAGTGTTACCAGGTGCCTATTTCATCCATCTCAGCCTGAAATGTTAAGTCTGGAAGGCAGCGTTATTGTAGGGAGGAGAGTTTGAAAATCTAGCAGACCAAAACAGTGAAATAACATGAACCAAACATTTGTAAAACTAGCAAAACTTTGTCATGTGGCTCCAAAGGCTTTCCATGTAAACAGTAATTAAGAACTAACAATGCTGCAAATCATCAACTCTTTTCAATACAACATTTTTCTGTGTGATTTTTTTTCCATTTTCAACAATGTGAAGAATTTTTTACTTTATTTGAACAATAATTGGCATTTGGTGATGTAATATAGTGGTAATGTCTTTGTTTTTTATTGTTTTATTATGTTGTATTGATTTATAAGTATTTGTTTTCATGGATTTCAGGCAAATGATTCCTTCCTAATTTGAAGAACTATGTGAGGGCGTGTTCCCATGCAAATGATAATTGATAATAATAAACCAAAATCTATAAACCGGGTACCACAATCACAAAATCAGAACATTTGGATCTTAAAAAGGGGGTATTATTAAACTTGTATGCGATATTAATAGCAAATATATAATATATTTAGATTACAATGTTATTTTTTATTGTTTTGAATATGCTTTATTCACTAAAAACAATATATTAACATGTTTAATAAGCTTCACTGTCATTTCTGACAAGTCCCCTTTGCTCTTTGGATTAAGTCACCCCCCCTCCAGAGTGCATCACTTTATTGCATGCATTCTGCTAATTAAACTATCATTCATCGCATGAGGTTTCTGAAGTTGTAGTGTATTGTTTTGTATCCTGCTTTTGTATATTTATGGAAAGTTGACTGGCTAGAGCATGAGTGACGTAGGTTTGGGAGATGAGCTTTTTATAGGATTTTACAACTAACCATAAGGAGGGTTCAGATAGGGCTCGGGAGAGATCACTAAATTACTCAAACATGTATGGATTTTTTTTTCATATTTTTGTTAATTCAAATTTTTGGTTGTGCTTTAACTTGATTTACTCAGTAGCTTTCAGCTTTTGTCAGATTAGTGTGTCTGTGTGTCAGTGTCTGCACACTGCACCAAAAAAACCCACTCTTCGATCTTTCCAAAACGGTACACCCACGACACTACCTTTGTTTACATCCTAATGAATGTTTGTGGCTGAACTCTAGAAACACGGAAATGTGCTCTTCTAGTTACTCCTCTGTAACAATAGATCCGCTTCCTATGTTATTCTACAAAGATAACAACCCTATTTCGAGCCCACTGCTGATTGCGATCATTAAAACATAAGGAAAAGCCTGTTCCCTGTGTCCTTGGACAAACCACTTTTGCATACAGCCTGGAATTCTCTTCGCAGATGTTCCTTGTCATGTTAAAAGGTTAGCCTAGCTTTAGACTTGGCCTTGCCTCTGTTTATGGTAGCAGTCCCTCAGAGCACGCCGGGTCTTGTAAAGGTCAAAGGTCAGGCTTAGTGTCTGGGGAATAAGCTGCACTTAGGAGCTGCTGTGTTTCTTTGGTTTCATTGTGTAAAACTAGAAGAGCTTTTAAAAACAAATCAATAGACTATTTATACTCCAAAACATAAATCACATTTTGTTTACATAGCCACAAACATTTACATCTACTCTATCTTAAATTTCTTTCAGTAAAGTGCCCAGACCTGAACAGCTCGCCCCCCATGTTTTTGAAGTTGACGAAGATGTGGAAAAAGACGAGGTAAGACAAAAAAAGCAAAACAATACTTACCCAAAATGTTCCTATATTACGGAAATTGTTGTTAACTCCTCAAAAATACCTGGAGTTGTGTTTTGTTTCATTATAACATAACATTATAACATAGATCAGAAAATAGCATAATATGGGCCCTTTAAAAAATCTCTAAATTGTTGTGTGTTGTGCTGCACTGTTGCCTTAGAGACAGCAGCATCTCCCCAAGCTGGACTTTAAAACTAGGTTATAAAGAAAATTTACTCTCCTAATTATTTTAACTCCCAACATTGCAATTACCTCCCTCTTTTATTCCACAAGAAATCTTTCCCTTAATTTCATGTTCTGTTCTCAAAGTACATAGCAGGCTGTCTACCTTATGACATTAGCCCCATTTTAAGGCGCATCCTTTCTCAATAATTACCAGCTTCAGGCAATGATTCAACACAAAGCTAGTGACCTTTAATGGGCAGATTGTTTTAGCCAAAAATCCCAAGAGATTAGAAAAGTGCATTGTTGAATTTAATGAAGTGAATTTCTCTCAAGGAGAGGAGATGTTGATGCCAATCTACCCTCCCATTTGTCATAAAATCAGCCTGCACCATTTTAAACCAACTTGTTCACTGTTTTTACCCAGTGGTGGATGAAGTCCACAATTTTGTTACTTAAAGGTGTATTGTGTAACTTTCCTGGTGGAGGGTCTGTCATATGCTTTTCTCCATGAGGATATTGCTGAGGATGCTTTGTCTGGAATGTTTCACAGTATGATTTAAACATTTTTATCATCACAAAGACCAAATCAAGTTACAGGTCAGATCTGTGGAGAGGCAGCTTTGCTCACAGTCAGAATTTTTTGCTATAAAACCAACTGTAATTGAGTAAATGTAATGTAGAGCTGTTTAATATCATACTCCGGAACATTCCAGACAGAGCAATGACATATCCATAGAAACAAACATGTGATGGACTCCCAACTATGTAACTAAAATTACATAGTTCACCTTTTAGTAAAAGTACAGATACAGGAATAAGATGTTACTCAAGTAAAAGTAAAAATAACACATGAAAAAATCTACTTAAATCTGCTTATTAAAGTACTTGTTTAAAAATTCACATAAAGAGTAAAAAGTAAAAGTAAAAGTATTTTGCCGAGATTTATAGAAAAATGCTCAAAGTTGGGATGAAAACTCAAATTAAATGTGCTAAAAACATAAAGTCTTAGCCATTTCAGAAAAGTATTTTTTACTTTTCAGTCCAGATCTAGTGGACTGGAAAGTACAGATATACAATGTAGAAAGAAAAAAGTATCCACTGTAAAATTAAGTACAGATACCTAAAATTTGTACTTAAGTATTGTAATTTTACTTTATTACTTCATTACCTTCCACCTCTGTACATGTTTTTGCCATTAAACTAGAGTAAAGAATGTTGCCTTATGTAATTAATTGTGGTCTGTTCGCACTCCTTTCTCACAGGACACGGCCTCCCTCGGATCTCAGAAAGGAGGAGTATCCAAACATGGCTGGCTGTACAAAGGCAACATGAACAGCGCAATCAGTGTTACTATGAGGGTAGGTTTACACAATCCTGTTCAGAAGTCTTGCTATTACAATCCTGTGCTAGTAATGAACAAAGCCACGGCGGACTTGATATATTTGACCTTTTCTCAGAATGGTGCAGAATCCAAATGTTTAAAAGTTCAAAATGTCAGTTAACAAATAATGGGACCTTATGAACACTCTTGTGCCTACAAAAGGTCCTATATTAACCAAAATTTAGTTATAAGCCATGTTATAATAATGCTGTTGCCTCCTCAAAAACATACTTCGAGTTGTGTTTTGTTTCTTTCATACATGTTTCAGTAATCTAGACTACAATTTACCTTTTATTTGGTATAGATTGTCAATTCCAGATCTGAAATTATCCAAATGATCTGTTTAAGAACACTGTCTAAATATGGAAGTTTTGTGTGTAAAATGTGTGAATGAAACAAAACAAAGCTCCAGGTATATTTTTGATGGGGAAATAACAGCATAACATAGATCACAAAATTGCAGAATCTAGACCCTTTAAAGCACTTTTGGATAACAGTATTTCTCACACGCGTCTGAACACTTTAAACTACTTTGTTGAAAGACTTAAACTAATAGCAGTCATTTGTTTTGCTTTCTAAACACATATGGAAAACTGGCATTAACTTTCATTGCACCCTAGAGTTTTCCCATGCCCTGTTATGGTATTTTTAGAGCCAAAGAGGCCATTGGGATGTTTACATTGTCCGTCTCCACCCTGCAGTCTTTTAAGAGGAGGTACTTCCATCTGGCTCAGCTGGGAGACGGCTCCTATAACCTGAACTTCTACAAAGACGAGAACACATCCAAGGAACCCAAAGGAACCATCTTCTTAGACTCCTGCATGGGGGTAGTTCAGGTAAAGGCCAAATGTGGTAGGCTAAAGAAACAGTTATGACTTATGATGACTATTGAGGATAAAAGGCATTTTTTGAGAATGTTGACTTAATAATAATAAGTGCTTTAATGGCCCCTCTGTCTTCCACCAAGCACTCACTCGCACAGCACATTCATTCACATAATTTTTTGTAATCGTGAAATATGTATGATAATTATAAAAAAAATATAAATATGACAACAATAACACAATCTTGCCATTATGTGAGAAACTAAAATCACAATAAAATAAATGTACTATTGTGTAACCACGATTCTCTTTGGTCTTGTAGAACAGCAAAGTGCGGCGCTTTGCTTTTGAGCTGAAGATGCAGGACAAAAGCACATTTTTACTGGCCGCAGACAGTGAGGGAGAGATGGACGAGTGGATCAGTACACTCAACAAAATCCTTCACAGCAGTTTCGAGCAGGCCATGCAGGAGAAGAGAAATGGAGACATACACGATGGTGAGGAGGGCCTTTTATTTATCTGTCGATCAGTTTCTTTCCATCTTACCGCCAAGGATGCTTTTGTATTTTTCACTACAAGAGCGAAGAAGTATCAAACATGTCAGATAAGAATTGAATCAGCTAACCTCATGTTGATCCTTTCAGCAGACGAAGAACACGGAAAAGCAGACATCTCATCCGGAAGTTTTCAGGACAGCTTTCAGGTAATCTGTTTTTTCCATTCGAAGTGACATGTCAAGAGAAATATACGCGACCACACAGAGCCCACATGGATTAGCTGTTTAGACCCTTGTAGCCCTGCAGAAGTGTTTGGTTTAAATGGGCTTATGGAGCAGAATACCTAAACAGCTGGATTCCTTTCAAACAAGTATCTGTATTTCCCTTATGGTGCTAAAGCAACAAACACCTGGTAAAGTGTGTTTGGACTCCATAAGTAGGGAACAGCAGTGAACAGCAAAGCAAATGTTGGCTGTGTTGGCTTTGTGAGACACAAACATTTCACTTTCTAAACACAGAAATGTCCTCCATTCAAGTATTCATTTTATTTGTGTACTTTTTAATATGTTGTCAGTGACGTTCACTTGCAGTTTCCTGTTCACAGCCTTATCTTTAAATATTTATTCATTTTAGAACAACTCTGCAAAAACTTCATAGAGATAAAATTGGACAGGAAATAGTGACGCTAACAGTGAGGTTGTTTGGCGGTGTTGTGCACAGAGCCTATTTCAATGTGAAGCAATACATATTCATCCATGCAATGTTTTGAGATTACAATAATGTGTATTGACTGTGCATTTTCTGCAACTGAGTTACAGTCAGTCATGAATCATTTATTACTTGGACATAACTGAGATGGATGTGGACTGTGTCAATATTGGATGAGGGTAAAATGCACTACAAGATTCTACTTATAATTAGTGTTGTTTATAATCTAAAATGTGGCATGTCAGACAAATAAGAGCTCAAATTAGACTTAATCTGAGCTTTATTTTAACACAATCTGAACATAAAGAGCTGAGCTGATTGGAATTACTACAGGTGAGATGATTTGTGTAAACAAGTCCCTCTCAAATTACGTTTCAATCATTAAGCTCACATTAGTCAATAGTTTTTCAGTTAGTCGCTTGCACCTTTTTGTTGAAAATCAAAACCCAAACAGGACCAGGAACACTTGTATTGATCATAGGCTTGAGAAAATGAGTTGTTTAAATCTGTTTTGTATTTTTTCTTGAGTATCTTTTTTGTCTGTATTTGCTATCATGTGCATTATGCCACTATGGTAACTACTGAACCTTTTGCCAGTAGAGATACATGTAGAAGCATGATGTCACCGCAAACTTATCAACATGCTAGCCAGCTTGTTTGAGAGAATATTCACTGCTACCACCCTTAAATTTAATTCTAGCTCCAGAACATTGCACTAACTCTAATACAGCTCAAATTTAATATAAACAATAAATAAAAAATAACCCAATGTATTTTACAGACCGCCAGAGACATCGAGTCCAAAATGAAAAGTGAAGCACGACTCAAACTGTTCACTCTGGACCCTGACACCCAGGTAATGAACTAATGTAACACCACTACCTTTAAATCTCTGTCTCCTATGTTATTTTTATGAACTCCTTTCTCATTTCTAGAAACTAGACATCTCCGGGATTGAGCCAGACATACGGCAATTCGAGGAAAAGTTCGGGAAGAGAGTTTTGGTCAGCTGCCACGACCTCTCATTCAACTTACAGGGTTGCGTTGCCGAGAACGAAGAAGGGCCCACTACTAATGTACGTTTCACTTCATCTGTAAAACCAACAAACTCGTCTACAGTGGGAAGACTTGTGGTTTGAAGGAGTTATAGAGATCACTCACAGTTCAGATGGCCCATTTGGCTTGCCCTCTGTAATATTGGTGTTACTGGATGACAGTTCTAACCACTGGCTGCCATGGTAACCATCTTAGACCTCCCACTGCACATTATAGCACCAGTCTGAAGTCGGTTTCCTGCTGTCAGTTTTCAAGCTCTCCGTCTGTCTCGGTTTTTAGGCAGTGGTGGATGATGCACTCAGTTTTGACTTAAAGCGACACTGTGTAACTTTTCTGGTGGATGGTCCATCAAATGATTTTATCCATGGAGATGTTTTTGCTTTAACTTTTCTATCTTCATGGAGACCAAACTGGGCCAAGTTACAGGTCAGATCTGTAGAGAGGCAAGCCAGCTCACAGTCAGAATGCCTGTTCTTCAATGTATTTTTGAGTCATAAAACCACTTTTGATTGAATAAATGTAAGGTAGAACTGTTTAATACTGTGAAACATTACAGGCAGTGCAATGACATATCCATAGAAACATGCAGGTATAACGGACCCCCAACCAATAAGTCACATAGTGCACGTTTAAGTAAAAGTAGAGATACAGAGGTAAAAAGTTATTCAAGTAAAAGTATCACATGAAAAAATCTACTTAAGTAAAAGTATTTAAATACTCGTAAAAAATAGAGTAAATAGAGTAAAGAGTAAAAAGTAAAAGTACACTCAGTGTTGTTGTTAAATGTTATTGATTAAAAAATTATACAGCTTTTGGTCAACATTTGCAATAAAAAAACAAAACTATTTCTTAATTTTTTCACGAATTTTCCGCATAAATTTTTGTTTGCTCAAAGCTGAAGCTTGAACTTAAAACTATTACCACGAATGTGATAAAAAAATACCTCTAAAATTACCTGAAAAGTGCTTTTTACTTTTCAGTCCAGTTAAAAAATTAGTGGAGTCAAATGTAGTGAAATAAAAGTAAAAAGTGTCCACTTTCAAATGCACTTCAGTACAGATATCTAAAAATCTACTTAAGTACAGTGCTTTACTAGTTTTACCATCCACTACTGCTATTAGCATACGTAATGGAAACACGCTTTGAAAGATAGACTACATACACAGCACATTTCTAAATGGAAGAAGTGCATTAGAGAAGAGTGATATGTTTTCTATAGCTTTTCCAATTGTTTTTCCTCTCTTCTTCTCTGTCTCAAAGGTGGAGCCGTTCTACGTAGTGCTGTCCTTATTTGACGTCCAAAACAGTAGAAAGATCTCCGCAGATTTCCACGTGGACCTGAATCACCCTTTAGTTCGACAGATGACCGGTGCAGGTTCGGGGCAGGATGTTCAAATCAACGGTGATCCTCGGGCTCTCCCTGAAGCCGCTCTGCAGTATCCCAAACAGGGTGTGTTCTCGGTCACATGTCCACATCCAGAGATCTTCCTGGTTGCAAGGATTGAGAAGGTGCTTCAGGGAGGTATTACCCACTGCACTGAACCATACATGAAGAGTTCAGATTCAACAAAGGTACATATCATTACACAATTATTATATGCAATTACAATTACTTTGGATTGGTTTCATTGTTTCAATTTTTTCTTTAATTTTGTTTTGTGATAGATTGCACAGAAGGTTTTGAAAAATGCCAAGACAGCATGCAGCAGACTGGGACAGTATAGGATGCCTTTTGCCTGGGCCGCTAGGTGAGTTATTACATTTTTAATATTTTTTCTGTACATAATATTACTTTTATATCCAATATATAAACACTATATTACTTCAAATGCAGAGTAAAAATTTCCCCATGGGGACAATAAAGTGTACCTGAAAGGTGCACTATGTAACTTTTCTGGAGGAGGGTACGTCACCTACTGGTCGCCATAGAGATGTTATGCTTTATCTGTTTTAAAATTGTTTATCTTACATTTATTTCATTAGAGGTGTTTTTGCTCTAAAAATCCCTTTAAAAACATACATGTAACTGTTTGCCAGGTCGTCTCCACAGATCTGACCTGTAACTTGGCCTTATTTTGGTGTCGCTTGTTTCTACTGAGATACAAATTCAGTTCTATATACTGTGGAACATTCCAGGCAAAGCAATAACATCTTCATGGAAACAAGTAAATGACAACCTCTCCACCACAAAAGTTTCACAATGCATCTTTAACCATGACTTAGAACACTTTTTATTACTGCAACTAAAATCCGTCAATTCAGACCAACAAATATGTAACTGTTTTGTAATTGAGGCTGGTGTTTAATTGTTGTGGTTCGTTGTAACTTTTAAAACTTTTGTTTATTGGCAAATCAGTGTTGTTCATACTAACCAATGAATTGACAACATACAACATAGCTGTTTGTTCAGTTTTGTATAGAAACAAAACCTGACTTCCATGTCTTTTTGATTTGATCATTTCTCTGTCTTGTCCAGGCCTGTATTCAAAGACGCATCAGGGACTTTGGACAAAAGCACTCGGTTTTCAGCTCTCTACAGACAGGACAGCAGCAAGTTGTCAGATGAGGACATGTTCAAACTACTCACTGACTTCAGAAAGTAAGATATTTGGGGATTTTTACAGAGTGGGTTTTTGTTTTTGTGTGTGTGTGTAATTTTTGTTTAGTTTTATGTAGTGCAGAGAGAGGTGTGGTGTGAGAGGGTTTTGTTTTGTTCTTCTTTGTTTTCTTGTAAATGTAAATGTTTTGTAAATGTGAATTTTTTTAATTGGGGGAATAAAAGAAAAACAAATTAAATAAATTTTTAATGCTTTTGACAATTACAAAGATCACATATGGAATAACAAACACTTTCTCTACAGACCGGAGAAGATGGCCAAACTCCCCGTGCTTTTAGGCAACTTGGATGTGACAATCGACAGTGTTGCTCCCGATGTAACAAGTAAAGGCTTTAAGTAACATTTAGTTTATACTTTATATTATGATATTCTTTACTATCTGCTATATTTTTTGTTGTTTTTAGATTGCGTTACTTCTTCTTACATCCCTGTAAGAAACTTTGAGGGTAATGGACCAGGCAGCGCTTTGCTAGAAGTTGAAGAATTTGTCCCTTGCATTGCCAAATGTTCCCAACCGTTTACCATCTACAAAAACCACCTTTATGTTTACCCAAAGCATCTCAAATACGATGGCCAGAAGTCATTTGCCAAGGTACTTACTATGCACCATTTAACCTTAAAATCTCCTCTCACAGTCACCTAATCTGTTTTAAAAGTTATAATCCTTTTATCGTGCATTTTCCATTATTTGGTTAGGCTTCATAACAACTGGCTGCTTCAGATAGATCAGGAATTATCCTTAGGCAAAGTAGTAGCATCTGACTAAAACATTAATTTAAAACCAACTTGATTTTCCTTTCTGTCTCTGACCTCCTTTATTTTAAATGGGAGCTGGCAAACTTTGAAGTATTTTCCTACATTCAGTTAAAGCTAACTGGACTGCACAAAGGGTCGGAATAGAGACAGTTTCTAGCAGCAAATTGGTTCATGTCCAAAAAAGACTTCTACATTTCAAATATAATATGTATTTGCCACTTCAACCTTATGTGCAGGCAAGGAACATCGCAGTGTGCATAGAATTTAAAGACTCTGATGAGGATGAAGCACAGCCGCTAAAGGTGAATCTCCATTATGTAACATGACATTTAATTCTGAATATAAAAGTTAAAAAGGAACAAATCGAATAAATGGTATTTCTTGCAGTGCATTTACGGGCGTCCAGGAGGTCCTCTCTTCACAAAACAAGCATATGCCGCTGTTCTCCACCACCAGCAGAACCCAGAGTTTTATGATGAGGTAATTATAATGTACATAGATCAAGCTTAAAGGGCCCATATTACGCTATTTTCTGAGCTATGTTATAATGTTGTGTCCTCAAACATGTGTGAATGAAACAAAACACAACCCCAGGTATGCTTTTGGGGAGGTAACAACATTCTAACATGGCTTAAAACTCAAAAGGATATATTTTGCACAATATAGGACCTTTAACATTATGACCAGTGACGTGTGTTAGCAAATGGACTATAATAAGCAATGAAAATTTGATCTTTAACATTTTGGGAAATTTTTTCTGTTGAGTTGATCTACATTTAGAGATTTAGCTGATTTTTGCACCAGATGCCCTACCTGTTGTTACCATCTACATAACTTGGGAAAGGAGTGGGCAATAGTGGTTTAGTGTCTCATCCAGGGACATAACAATATGAGCTAATGTGGGAATTAATCCGGCAACCTTGTGATTTCCATTAAAATGCTTAGTACCAGGCCTTTGCACTACTGTTACCCAAGTTTGACAATGATAATAATGACCCCAAAATATCATAAACAATAATATTTTATGGGTAACACTTTATTTTAGGGTGCACTTATTAACATCTAACTGTCATTCATTAGTATTTATTCAGCCCTTATTGATGTCCAGTTCCCCATAAACTTATTCTGCTATTAGTTAGACATTTACAAACACTTTCCTATTAATACATTCTTTATTACTGCTTATTAGTATGATACTAGGCCATTTTTGTTCATGAATTATGATTCTATTAAGCGTTTGGTAATAAGGGTGTTGTTAAGGACTAATAGCACAAAAAATTTAGTTTTTACTTATTTGTATCAAAAGCTTATCAGAATCATAATTTATGGACAAAAATGGCCTTGCATCATACTAATAAGAAGTAATAAGGAATGTATTAATAGGAAAGTGTTTGTAAATGTCTAACTAATAGGTGAATAAACCATTTACAACTGATGAATGATAATTAGTATGTAGTTAGATAAGTGCACCCTAAAATAAAGTGTTACCATTTTATGTCTTATAGATGCATGAAGAAGTTGTATATTTTCACTATTACTAGCTAGTGCCTAATTTGTTTGTTAGAAATCCACTTTTTTCTCTTAATATTCCCTGACATCTAATCCCAACGGTGTAAGGCTAAAGCTTTAACTGTATTCGGAAATCAACCTCGGGATATTTTTCTCGTTTTTCTTGTAGATAAAGATCGAGCTGCCCACTCAACTGCACGAGAAACACCACCTCCTCTTCACCTTTTATCATGTGAGCTGTGACAGTAACAGCAAGAAGAAAGACCTGATTGAGACTCCAGGTAAAAACTGGCTCAGGTTATTTGCATATTATTGTTCCGCTACCACTCTTTTTTACTTGACTGCGCTTTGTTTTTACCCACAGTGGGATCTGCTTGGTTACCTTTGCTCAGAGATGGCAGGGTTATTATGAACGAGCAGCTTTTGCCTGTTGCTGCCAATCTGCCTGCCGGGTATCTAAGTTCCCAGGACACTGTCACCAAGGTATAAAAAATGTTACAGTTTTGGTCTATTTTTACTGCTTAGTTTTGTTCCTTTCACTCTTTTCTTATAAATCACTCTAACCATTTTTTATAAGTCTTTAACCATTAAAGGGCCCATATTATGCTATTTTGCATTTTTAAACTCTATACACCGTCACAAGAATCATTTTAGAATCATAATTTCAGTCCTGGAATTGTCAATCTCTATTGAAAAAAATTTGAAGGGTAGCTGTTAACTTAAAAACTATTACTACATGATGACGATCACAAGGTGGAACAGAGCATTGGGAGCTTTCGAGATGTAGACGCCTAATAAACCATGAAACAAAACGCTATGTTTGTTCCATGTAGCAACATTGTAGATTGGCTAAAAGCTCACAAGAGTTAATTTTGCATAACAGAGGACCTTTAAGACCTTGCAGAGGGAATTTTATTAGCTACGACTAAATTGGAAAATCGAACAAGCTTTTACAATGAATTCCAAGTGAATTAGATCAGTATTAAAATGTGATCCTTAAATCCAATGGTCAATAGGTTCTGATTACTCCCTAGTGCATTTACTTACTAATGCATGGCTTCTATTGAATTGTGTTAAATTAACCTAATTATGAAAATAACTCTGTGTCATTTTGTCTATAAGTCATCATTGTTAAAGCCAGTACATTTTAAAGAGAACGAAAAGTATATGAAATTGAGATAAAGATATTGTTTATTGTTTTATATTATATTTTTATAGATTTTTGCAAGATAATATATACACAATTTACAATTACATATATTTTGATACACATTCTCTTTACTTACAAAAAATTGGGGAATAACGACGTTTCTTAGATAAAATCAGTCTAGCCAACCTTTCCATATACTCTCAAATTTCTCTTTTTGTAATATTAAAGTATAAGTCAGTTTCTCCATAATATAAAGGTCATACATCACATTCTCACTGTTTTACTGGGGTATTTTATATAATGTCACATTGCTTGTCTTACACTTCACCTGTCTGTTTATTTTAAGCACTCAGGCTCAGAGATCAAGTGGGTTGACAGTGGAAAACCTCTGTTCAAAGTCTCCACTCATCTTGTCTCTACAGTTTATACTCAGGTATGCTCTCTGCTTTTGTATCTCTACCTAAGTAAAATTTAAATACATACAATCTTCAAAAGTAGTTTTAAATTTGCGCTGGAATCTAATTTTCTCCCCAGGATCAACATTTGCACAACTTCTTTCACCACTGTCAAAAGATGAACTTATCAGAGCAAGCGCTGGAGGGCGAGCTGGTCAAATACCTCAAGGTAAACACACTCATTCATAGAGCACTACTCTTCAGAGCAAAATGGCTGCCCCTAAAATAGCAAATTTCAATTTTTCAAATCTATTTCCAGAGCCTTCATGCAATGGAGGGGCATGTCATGGTCAACTTCCTCCCCACTATAATCAACCAGTTGTTTTGTGTGCTAACCAGAGCCACACATGAAGATGTAGCAGTCAACGTGACAAGGTGGTGATTTTTATTATAACATTTCTAATAGCATAGTATCCCTGGCCAAATACAATTAAATTAGATAAAAATAAGATACTCATAAATAGTATTCACATAAATGGGACATATAGTTGGCCATTTTCTGAATATGACTGGATCTTGATCTGAATTAGTACTAGATCACATGGAAATATTAAAGGGACTGTTCGGAATTTTGGACATAGGACCTAATTTCCTAGTGAGCCAGAGTCTTGGAGAGGAGTGGAGACACTTTTTTAAATATTCCATCTAGTCCTTGTATTTGTAGAGGTCAGACATAAATCCTTGCATTTGAAGGATTTATGTCTGAGCAGCAGCAGCAAGTTGTATTTCCTGATAGAAAGCTTGTCAGCGGCAGACTGATATATGAGAAAACAGTCCCTCAACATGCGACGATTCATGTGATGTAAGGTTAGTTTTATTTCAGACATTATTCTATCAACACAGACACTGACATCGACAGTCTGGTGTAATAGTAGGTGTGCTTTGTGGAGTGACAGGCTAACTATGACCATTGACATGCACTAGCCTATCATCAGCGACCTCTGCAAATACAAGGATTGGATGGAGTATTTTAAAAAGTGTCTTTACACATCTCCATCACTCTGGCTCACTAGAAAATGAGGTCCTATGTCCAAAATTTCGAACTGTCCCTTGAAAGGTGCACTATTAATTGAATCTAAAGAAGTATTATCACAAAATTCAATCAAGCTCTTGGATCGTAGCTACACGGTTTGTAGCATAATATTAACTGCAAAAGTTTGCTAAGTCCTGCAGTTTTTATTCAATTTCTTGATTAAAGGTGCACTATGTAACTTTTCTAGTGGAGGGTACACCACCTGTTTCTCACTGGAGATGGTATTGATTTTCCTGGAATGTATCTCTCTTGACTGTATTCAATTACAAAATCAAAATGTTGTTCTTTTTCTTATCAAAATCAAGTAGGAAATGTTATAGTGTTTGTTTCATAATTTCACATTCACTTATAGGCCAACTTCATATATATATTATTTTCTATCTCTCCTGTACTTTTCATTAACACCACATGTATTTGTTATTTTCTATCTCCCCTGTTCTCTTCATTAGTCTTTGAACACTGCAGGTAGTGGGTGAATGTTGTTTCCCAGTATGGAGCGAGTATATTTCTTTAGTGCAGAGTGAACTACACCTGCCATCTCTCTTTACTTTCATGTTTTGTATCATTAGTCTATGTTTCTCACAGGGTGATGGTGCATGTAGTCGCACAGTGCCACGAGGAGGGGCTGGAGCACTATCTCAGATCATACGTCAAGGTACATCACAGTTTTAAATGAATCTATGTTTATTTTTTGACATTTCTTTTGTATCTTTCACAGTTCGTGCTGAAACCCGAGCCATATTCTGGTTTAAATGTGAAAACTGTTCATGAGGAACTAGCAAAAGCGATGACAGCTATTTTGAAGCCATCCACTGATTTTCTGACAAGTAACAAGCTGCTAAAGGTAACATTTGGGTCTGTATTAATTTTAATGGTTCAGTGGCTGTCTTCCTCGTTCAAATTTCTGTTGTGTTTCAGCACTCCTGGTATTTCTTTGAGGCATTAGTGAAGTCGATGGCTCATTATCTCATAGAAAGTGGGAAAGTGAAGGTAAAACAGTTGGTTCCTTCTTCTAATTAATACTGAATTTAAAGTCCTATATTACACAAAATTGACTTTGGTGAGCTTTAAGCCATCTTATAATGTTGTTACCTCCTCAAAAGCATACCTGGACTTGTGTTTTGTCTCATTCACACATGTTTGAGTAACCCTATTATTAGTCTGTCTACATCTCCAAAGCTCATAATACTCTGTTTCACCTTGTGATGTCGCGAAACGGTTATTTTCAAGTTAAAAGCTTTTTATCTTTAGTTCAGTAGAGATTGGAAATTCCAGAGCTGAAATTATCCAGACTATTCTAGTGAAGTTGGAGTTAACAAAACACAGTGGAGCACTTTGTGTATTACCACATGACATCACAAAAACAGAGTGTTTTCTGTTTGAGAGGAGAACTCAGCCTAAATATGCAGGGTTTGTTTGTTAAACATGTGTGAAACAAAACACAACTCCAGGTATGTTTGTGATCAGAAAACAACATAAATCAGAAAATAGAATAATACTGATCCTTTAACCATTTGTTTTTCTAATGTCATTTTAAAGCTCTCCAGAAACCAGCGTTTTTCAGCCTCCTTCTATCACGCCGTGGAGACTCTGGTCAACATGTTGATGCCTCATATCACACAGAAGTACAAGGACAACCTGGATGCAGCACGCAACGCTAATCACAGCCTGGCAGTTTTCATTAAAGTTAGTCCTCTTATTCCCTTCAAATTACGTAAATCACATTGAATAGTTGTAATAATTTTGTCTTTCTCTTTTTTTTTTCTTTATCCCTAGCGCTGCTTCACCTTCATGGACCGAGGCTTTGTGTTCAAACAAATTAACAATTACATAAACTGCTTTGTACCCGGAGATCCCAAGGTTTCAAGACTTTTTTGTGGTTTGACATTTTAGAATTAGATTCAAATGGATAAATGATCAGTGATATTTAATTTCTTCCCTCCAGACGCTGTATGAATTTAAGTTTGAGTTCCTGCGCGTCGTCTGCAGTCATGAGCACTTTGTTCCACTCAACCTGCCCATGCCCTTTGGAAAGGGGAGAATACAAAGGTTCCAGGGTAAAACAAATGACCTTCAGCTTCACTTTGTCTCCTGCATCATCATCATCTGCCTCTCCCACATGTAACTCAATATTGTTTGCCCAGATCTCCAACTGGATTACTCCTTGACTGATGACTTCTGTCGAAACCACTTCCTGGTGGGCCTGCTGCTGAGGGAGGTGGGCGGGGCTCTCCAGGAGCACAGAGAGATCCGACAGATTGCCATACAGGTGCTCAAAGCTCTGATGATCAAACACACATTCGATGACCGCTATGCTGCAAAAGTGAGTTAACAGCAAACCTGCAATTTATCTTTATGTATTTTTCACATGTCAAAGCTTAGAGATGTGACACTTTGTGATACTGTTCACTTCACAGAGCCACCAGGCCCGGCTGGCCACTCTGTACCTCCCTATGTTTGGACTGCTTCAGGAGAATGTCCACAGGTTGGACATGAAAGACCTGCCCCCTTTCAGTCACCACAGTGTAAGTCTGACACCTAGTGGTACAATGCCAAATTACATATATTACTGCACTTAGATGAAACGTTTGTTGACTTGCTTTATGAGATGTTATATGTTATGTATTAATTGGCCTGCATATCCATATATATTTTTATTTTATATGTTTAGAATCCCAGAGAGGACTCACTGGTGCCAAATGCTATGGTGACGCCGCACAAACCTGGCAGTTGTATAGAAAATGCTCTCCACAAAGATGTATTTGGGGTTATCTCTGGAACAGGTTATTACTTTGTTAATATGTAGTTCACATATATTGCAGAGCATTATACCAGGTCTATAATCTAACTCCCTGTTTTTTCTCGTGCAGCCTCTCCCCATAGCTCCACTCCAAATATCAGCTCTGTTCATGCAGACTCCAGAGGCTCCCTCATCTCCACTGACTCTGGGAACAGCCTGTTGGACAAAAGCAGTGACAGAACCAACTCACTTGAAAAGGTATTACCAAACAAATAAGTAATAATATAAGTTTCATATTCTGTATTTTAGACTGTTTCATGAATAGTTTTGTGTGCATCACACCAGAGCTCCCACACTACCGCTTCTTGCATTGTAACTCACCAAAGAGAGAAATTTCGGAGGCACTCAGTTAATGTACCTGTGCTTCCTGCGGGCACGGAAAACCCAACCCCAAACCGGGCACCTAAACGCATCACCATGGACTTCTCCCTGCTCTCTGTGCCCCTGTTAGACTCACTACAAGACAGTGACAGTGTCTTTGATAAACCAGGCCTGAATGGACAAGCTAACACATCCTTACAAGTACTTACAGCTGAGTTGATCTTTTTGCTGTGATCTGTCCAGAGCCCAGTTGGCTTGTTTTCTAATAATTTGAGTTATTTGTGTTGCAGTGGTGGAAGAAATACTCAATTTTGTTACTTAAGTAAAAGTACAGATACTAGAGCAAAGGAATAGTCAAGTAAAATTCAAAGTATCAAAAACAAAAATCAACTTAACTAAAAGTATTAAAGTACCTGTTTAAAAATGTGCTTAAAGAATAAAAAGGAAAAGTATTTGACACATATTTGAGGTCTAATAAGCTTCAAATGTAGTGATTTTAATAAAGATTTGTGCTGGATTTTTTCCTAGATGTTTTTATTGGTATATTTTTGTTTGGTCAAACTACAAGTGTCTTCCCCTCAGCCTTTTCAACAGGTCTTAAACAGTCCTGTTCAAAAAATGTAGTTGAGTAGAAAGTACAGATACCTGCTCTCAAATGTAGTGATACTTAAAATGTATACTTAAGTACAGTACTTTGCTACTTTTACTTTGTTTACATTCCACCACTGTTTGTGTGTTATGGACGTCTGCACAATACAATCTCTCCTTTCAGCTTGTCCCACATCAGGGAGTGCGTGTGCGCTTTGACTTTCGCCTCAAACACTTTATTGTAAAGATAGAGTTGAAATCTTTAGTTTGATGTTGCTATCTCAAAGCACAAAGCTGCCTTTTGTGCTCAACACTTGAAATTTTTTTCTCTTTTTTCTTTTTTTCTTCATCTCTCAAACCCTTTCTGAACGCTAACTATTTCATTTTGTCTCAGAACCAGTGTGCGTCGGCCCTGGGTAGCACCATGCTTCGCTGCGATAAGCTGGACAGAGACGAGATCAGAAACCTGCTCATGTGTTTTCTACATATACTCAAAAGCATGTCAGAGGGTAGGTCTGCTAGGACTTAGGCCTGTCACGATAATTACTATATCAACTTGTCGTTTAATACATGAAAGCTGGAACAATATATGTGGGCTCAATACTTAACTTAAAGGCATATTGTGTAACATTTCTGTATGGCAATAAACATTTCTATCTTCATGGAGACCAAACCAGACCAAGTTACAGATCAGATCTGTGGAGAGGCAATCCCTCTCACAGTCAGAATGCCTATTTTTCTAAGTATTTATGAGCTGTAAACCACTTGTAATTTAATAAATGTAAAGTAGAGCTTTTTAATGCTATACTGTCTCAAATTCCAGACAAAGGAATGACATATTCATAGGAAAAAGCAGGTGATGGACCTCCAACAAAAAAGTGACATAGTGTACCTTTAACTTTGCAGTAGTGGATATAAGTTTTTTGGAGTTCCATTAGCTTTGATCAGGAGAAGGTTGAATAAGTTCATCTTTGAGTTACTGTTAGATTGTTAGATAGATTGTTATATTAGATTAGATAATCCTACTGTTTCATTCAACCATTTACATATTGCATTTATAATTTTTACAATATTATGCAATTATAGAAGGACTTGCTGTGATTATGCTGCTTTAAGATAATTTTGTCAGTGGTATAGAAATGTCAGTATTATCATTTATTGTGAAATTTTGATGTATTTTAATATATCGCACTTCAAAATCAGTTTATTGTGACATTAATTTGTGGCCTACTAGTACTACCTCACTTATATTTAAACTACTGGAATATTTTTGTAGCTACAATAATATAATATTGTCTTAAAATGTCATTTTCAGAGGCTCTTTTTGCATACTGGAACAAAGCTGCTCCCTCAGACCTAATGGACTTCTTTACACTATTAGAGTAAGTTTCACAGACTTTAATGCATAATTGATTGTGGTTTACTTCTCAAGATAGATTTATCATGGTAATAGGATAGAAAATGTATGGTTAACGAGTGTAATGAGAGAGAAATACATTTGGCTACTCTGTTTTTGTATTATTCCCAACAAAATATGATCAGGGTTTGATGTTGGATTAATCATTTTACCATCATGTAATTATCATAATATCCATTTGAGTTACTATTTCCATATTTTTTTTATTGTGTTATAAAGTAAATTCTATTGTATATTCATTTGCACAAACACAATTTTTGTTGCAGAGTATGTCTTCATCAGTTTCGATATATGGGCAAAAGATTCATCGCCAGGTAAAAGTATCAAACATAAAAATCTTTGAAAATGACCTTTTAACCCAATTTGGCATATGAAATCCCACTGATGCATATGATTTAAATGTTTTTTGAATCTGCTAACCCTGGCCTTTTTTCTTTATTATTAATGCTTCTGGCAAGTTTATGTCACTAATTCCTCAGTCCTTGGCTCCCTCCTGCATGGGTAAGATGATGCATGTTACTATACAATGCCTTGGCTTTCATATCCTTAAAGGGCCCGTATTATATATTCTATTTCTGATCTCTGTTATAATGTTGTTTCGTCATCACAAACATACCCGGAGTTGTGTTTTGTTTTTGTTTTTCATTCACACATGTTTAACACACAAATCCTGCATATATAGGCTGAGTTCTTCTCTCAGAATGAAAACACCCCACCTTGTGATGTCATGTGGTAATACAGGAAATGCTCCAGTGTGTTTTTAAACTCCATACACTGTCACTAGAATCATTTGGATAATTTCAGACCTGGATTGACAATCTTTACTGAACAAAGGGCAGCTGTTAACTTGAAAACTACCACTTCATGACAGCATTTTGAGCTTTGGAGATGTAGACAGACTAATAAATCAATGCACAATTACAAAACACAACTATAGGTATGTACTTGATGATTTAACAACATTCTCTTAATATCTTAAAGCTCACAAGAATCCATTTTGCGTAATATAGGACCTTTAAATTATTATTGTTATTTATCAAAACAAATATCAGATGACTTTTAATAAACTTGAGTTGTAATTTGTCTTCTTCTCTCCCACAGGAGCCAGGACGGTACAAGCCTGTTGACTCCAGATAAGAAGTCTTTAACTCTGCCCGTGTCTCGAAACAGGGCAGGGCTTCTGCACGCACGCCTACAGCAGCTGGGAACACCTGAGCGCACACACCTTCAATAACAGTACGAACTTACGCAGATGCCAAATCAATCTTCAGTATGTTTATAGGCGATAATAATTACTATATTGACTTATCGTTCAGTATATGAAAGCTGGAACAATATATTTTGGGGTATAATATTTATCGTGGGCATATTTTTTGCAATATAAGGAGGTATTTTTTATTGTTTTTATTATAATACAGTAAGATTTGATCTTGTAAGAGGGTTGAAAAAGTAACATCTTTGGGTAATTATAGGGTCATTCTGATATTTGTTGGTTCCTTGATATGATACTGTCTATTAAAAGGATTCACTGGGATTATCCTACTTTATTGTTGTGTCAGTATCATAAAGTAGTTAATTGCAGTATATCTCAGTAGAAATACATGCTTCAAAATTTGTTATCGTTCCAGGCCTACAAAGTTAAAGTTTCTGTTTACTCCACCTTTGAATTATGTTGCATTATATAACCTTATTAGTCATATACATTGTTATTTCTTTTTGGTGATTTCAGTTTCGTATTTATTTACTGTCGTATCTGGATAAGTGAAAGCAAATAGTTGTTGACTGTTGCCATAAGAGCAGTTAAGTCCTTTTTTTATAATGAAAAGTCCTCAAAACGTCACCTATCAGTCATCTATAATTTATAACATCTGAAAAAAATAAACACAAAATTAAAACTTTGAACTGTTGCCATAGAAACAATTGAAATAAATATTAAGTCTTTTGAATAGTCGTTTGAATAGTGAAAAGTCCTCAAAATGTCACCTATAACAGACGAAACACACGGCTACATCAGTGATTATTTTGCTTATATTGATTATAATTACTATCTTCTTATAAGTTGTCATTAGCGTTATCAAGTCAAATAAACACAGCCCTGATAAGTGTTTGAGTAAATGTGATATTTATCTTTTGAATCCCCAAAATGTCACCTATAATAGTCAAAACGCAATGGATATTTCAATGAATATTTTGTTTTGTCAATATCATATCTCTAGTGCTGTTTAAGTTGTCATTACAGATTAGCATTATCAACACCAGCCTTGATAAGTGTTTGAGTAAATATGATATTTATCTTTTTAATAACATAAAGTCCCCAAAATGTCACCTACCAGCTGAAACACAATGAATTTTTACTGCTGTATAAGTTGTCATTAGCGTTATCAACATAACCCTGATAAGTGTTTGAGTAAATGTGATATTTATTGCCCCAGTAAAACCTATCTCCATGTGACCTTCTGTCTGTATTGTGCAGTGTACTCTCACGCTGAAGCAGACGTGAGCAGCCAGTGTCTCCTCGAGGCCAATGTGTCCACAGAGGTGTGTCTTACAGTACTGGACACTCTCAGCATCTTTATTATGGGCTTCAAGGTAACTGCTCAAAATATGTACAATATGAATTAAATGTGTATTATGTACAGTAGTGGAAGAAGTACTCAGAATACTCAAGTGAAAATAAAAATATCACATGACAAAATCAACTCAAGTAAAAGTATTAAAGTACATGTTTAAAAATGTATTTTAGTGCACTTATACTTGTACAATTTTCAGATCTAATAAAACTTCAAATGTAGTGATTCTGAAGAATTGTACTGAATTTAGTACAACATTGTTCACATTTTTAGTTGCTCAAATTATGAACCTTTTCAGAAGGCTTCAGACAATAATAAAAAAAAAAAAACTTTACTTTTCAGTGCAGTTCAAAAATGTATTGGAGTAGAAAGTACAGATACTTGCTCTCAAATGTAGTAATGTAAAAATAAAATCCACTTTAAAACTTGCTTACTAAATTAGAGAAAAGCTTTAACAATTCCATGAAAACAAGCAGGTAACAAACCTTCCAACCAAAAAAGTTACATGGTGCACTTTTAAGTCTAACGCAAATCCTGCATGCTTGTTGGTGATACACAGATATATTTTTACTGTTCTTACCAGACACAGTTGACCTCTGACCTCGGGCACAACCCTCTCATGAAGAAAGTTTTCCAGGTCCATCTGTGTTTTCTGCAAATTCCACAATCAGAAACAGCGCTCAAACACATCTTCACCTCCCTCAGGACTTTCATCTACAAGGTAAAATCATAACTGCTAGAATATGGACAAAAGCATGGTACTCACAAACATATAGAGAATAATTAAAATCATACTTATTTCATCATTTAATTGTTTATGTTTTGTCAAAAGATACCCTGCAGAGGAAAAAAGGGGTTGTCTTGATTTATTTTTAATGTTTGTAATAATTTAATTTTTAAAGACATGTGGCTCTGGGACTTAAAGAGTTTTTTATGTATAATATAGCACCTCTAATATTCTTATTCTCATTGCAGTTTCCCTGTACGTTCTTTGATGGCCGTGCAGACATGTGTGCCTCTCTGTGCTATGAAATCCTCAAGTGCTGTAATTCCAAGCTCAGCTCTATCCGAAGCGACGCAGCTCATCTGCTCTACTTCCTCATGAAAAGCAACTTCGACTACACCGGCCGCAAGTCCTTTGTACGAACGCACCTGCAGGTATTGAGAGAATTTTTAAAAGCAACAAAAAGCAACAAAATCTGCAAAATAATCAAGATTTTTTACTGAAACTGCTTATTTTAAGGTGGTCATTGCTGTGAGCCAACTGATTGCAGATGTGATTGGGATCGGTGGCACCCGATTCCAACAGTCCCTGTCCATTATAAACAACTGTGCCAACAGTGACAAGAATATCAAGGTAGCTATTATTTAAAAAAAATACATATGTGAAGTTTACACATAGGTTTGTCACAGTAACAAATTTTGAAGCACAATATATCACTATAGAGAAATATTAAGATAAATGATAATATTGAAAGTACTTTATGCCACTGACACAAACGGAATAATCCCAGTAAAACCATTTTTAAATATACAGTCATTAAAATGCCTGAACTGCAATGAATAAATAGCAGAATGACCCATTATTTATTATGTTTTTCCTGCTTCTTTTATAATCATATTCATTTAACACATTTTATATTACTGATTTAATTTTCATTATTTAGAATTACTTTATATTGCAGGTTTTGAATAAAATGTCTAAGCATAATTTTGAGGGGTTACTATATAGGCAACATAAAATATAAAAATTTTAAAAATATACATATGTTGTAGTTCCAGTTTATCTGCCCTAGAATATATGATAGAACCCAATTATAGGTAAAATTAAATATTTTGAGAAAGAAAATTATATTTAAGAACATGTGAAGCCAAGTGATGAAAACATTTACAGAGCCTATACTTAATTCTACTTGTAGATTCTACTTGTTGTCCTTAGCCATACAAGGCCATACAAGATGTATTCAAACCTCTACATTTCAGACCTTATTGTATTACATAAAAATGACTAAAATCTCTCCAGTATTGCAAAGAAAATGTACATATGATAAATATTAAACCTCAAAACTTATACTTTCAGCTTTCATATATTCAACGATAAGTCTATAATTATTTATATATATAATTAAATCTGTAATTATTGTGACAGGCCTATTTACACATATAATATTTTGCATTGTTATATTGATGTTGTTCAACAGCATACAGCGTTCCCCTCCGATGTAAAGGACTTGATGAAGCGCATTCGGACAGTTCTGATGGCCACAGAGCAGATGAAGGAGCACGAGAATGACCCTGAGATGTTGGTAGATCTTCAGTACAGTTTGGCCAAGTCCTACACCAGCACACCTGAACTCCGCAAGACTTGGCTGGACAGCATGGCCCGTATTCACAATAAGAATGGAGATTTATCAGAGGTATTATAAATTATTATCTTTTGACTCTATTAAAATGTATTTATTACTGGATAAAATGTAATAGGCTATTTTGAAACTAATGTATATTTTTCTGTGTCCAGGCAGCTATGTGTTACGTGCATGTGGCAGCTCTTGTGGCTGAGTATTTGTGGAGAAAAGGTGAGGGACAAAAGCATGCACGTCATTTGATTTATGTAGTTAAACTGATGCACACTTTCTTTGCTTTTATTGTCCTTTTATTATCCTTCCAGATTCAGAAGTTGAGTCATGAGTCACTAGTTTAAAGTTAATCTTATATAAGACTTTATTTGCCCAGTAGTGAGTTGAAAAACATACATTGTCATGTATTCATTAAAGGCAATAAAACACAGAACAGATTGTCACATCACCAGGAACCTTCTGCTCTCTCCTCAGTGGTCCAAAGGTCTATAGTTCATGACTGTATTTAAACAAGGCATTTAAAGATAAGATACTTTTTTCACGTTTCTTCACCTTTTAAACCGGAAGATCAACTCTGTTGTCGAACCGTTGCACAACAAGTCAAGAGAGTTCAGGTGTTATACAATTATATAAGGCATATAAAAACACTATTGAACTTGTGCTGCCATATTGATGATGATTGAAAATCAAAATGATGACTGAAAATAAAAAAAGATGAATATTAATGGGTTTGAGGAAGTTTGTATAAAATATTTTAGAGGTAATAGGACAACAGTGCATTCTAATGCCAATGTTTAAAAATAATACATTTTAAATATGATGACAGTAACATATCAATCAATATTTGGGACAAAAACAACAAAAGGTTTCAAAATAGCAGAACATTCTTCAATAATTCCTTTATCTAATGCATCTTTGTCTCTTAGGCATGTTCAGACAGGGCTGTGCTGCTTTCCGGGTCATCACCCCGAACATAGACGAGGAGGCGGCCATGATGGAGGACGTGGGAATGCAGGACGTTCACTTCAATGAGGTTTGTCATAGTTTTCTCAGTATAGTATATCAATTCATCAATAAGAAAGTCAATGATTAGCTGATCAATGCCACGTATCAAACAATAAATCTGTATAAAAGATAATCAGTTGCTGAATGCAGTCTCAACTATTGACTAGTGAACTTTTGTTTCCTCACCACACATCACATGAATAATATGAGGTCATAAAGCAGCTCTAGAGGAACAGCATAATGGTAAATTTGTGTTATAAAATTAAATCACGTAAAGTCTATTTTGGAAATGCCATTTCATTTGAGAGAAATTGTATTTAGTTACTTTACTGCAGCATTTATCTGCACTTAAGCTGGTCCACATCTCCCCAGAGCCTGATAGCCATATGAATAGAAAATGATGGCTACAAAATATGTTCGTTTTATGAGATTGTCAACAGCCACAGACATCACTTATTCCCTCCCATCTGTTTTATGGAGTGAAGATGATACGACCATTTCCGATTTTGATGCATTGCTGTCTTTTATAGGGACAATGTGCTCACTTCAAGCTCTACTGGACAAATAGTAGACACATGAAAAATGATGGTATGCTTGTGTATTTTAGGAGGTGCTGATGGAGCTGCTGGAGGAGTGTGCGGACGGTCTTTGGAAAGCTGAGCGTTATGAACTAATCGCAGATGTCTACAGACTTATAATACCCATCTATGAACAGAGGAGAGACTTTGAGGTTTCACTGTCAAACCATGTCTATGAAAATACAGAATAAATTCCTACATTATCTCTATATCTTTCTTGACCCGTGTTTTGCATTACAGAAACTGACACATCTGTATGATACATTGCATCGCGCCTACACCAAAGTCATAGAAGTGATGCATTCTGGGAAAAGACTGCTGGGGACATACTTCAGAGTGGCCTTCTTTGGGCAGGTACAGTGGCATTTTCTATTGAAATCATTAAGATAACTGACAGGTGAATAGCAGAATAACATTATCTTTAGTGATAAGGGTAAATAGTATTTGACAGTGAGTAAGCATTATGTTCTTAGAAATGTTGCCTGTTTTTTGTTTAGAAATGCTGATCGTACCCATTAGATTCATAAATGCATGGATAGATGGATCTTTAATGTAATTGCAAATTAAATTACAACTTCATTGAATTTGAAACTTTAATCACATCTCTTTTCTTATTTATATATTAACAATAGTTCTTTTTGTGTTTTGTTTGCTACTCCAGGCTGCGGTGAGTATACAAGGGTATTCCCTATTCAGTAATGGGCATAGGCAGTGCACTGTGTAGTATCTGCATGTTGCCTGGGTTGGGTTTCAGGTTAAGCTTCAGTAGGTAGCATCAAAGCTAAATTACAGATAGACTGAAGTATTGTGCCAATATTTTGACTTTTTTGTCCTGGTCTGCTGCCTAAAAAAACACACAGAGTTTTATATTAACACTTTAATATGAAGAGAGAGCTGCACAAAACGTGACTACTCAGCTCTCTTTTAAGTTCATGGCCAAAAAGGGCGGTGGGTAAGTTTGTAGTAAATTTAAATTACATTCTTTGGGGAAAATAATCAAAATATGCCACAAAAATATCAGCAGAGCTCATTGACCATTGGTTACTTGGTTTCTAAACAATCAATATTGACATTGGCCATTTAAAAAATCCATATCGGTCGATCTCTATTCTACACCCTCCTCTGTAGATATCTGTTACATCCCATGTGGTCTTTCTACATTTCCATAGATAAATGTAGTAGTGGATTTTTTTTTTTTTTCTGGCGTGGTGATCTTTTGCATCTTCATTACTTTATCATAAAATGGTGTCTTGTATTCCATTTGTTTCAACATGCGCATCTACATCTGCTACTATTACTTTTGTGTTAGTATGTCTTGTGATGTGTCTTTTTCTTCTTCTTCTCCCCAGGGTTTCTTTGAGGATGAAGATGGGAAGGAGTACATCTACAAAGAGCCTAAATTCACTCCACTCTCTGAGATTTCCCAGAGGCTGCTCAAGCTCTACTCTGACAAGTTTGGCCAAGAAAATGTCAAAATAATCCAAGACTCTGGCAAGGTGAGATACAACACTTACACACAAAGTTAGAATTTCTTAGTAATTCTGAAATACTGCAATACTAGCCACTGGTTCTTGGGATTTTTATTTTTTTTGTTCTAGTTAATTGTGCACTGTAACTTTTCCGTTTGGCTCCAATCAAATGAAGTTCACAATGCTTGCAGTTATAGGAGCGAATTTGGAGCCAGATCAATTTTAGGAATAGGAACTGATTGACATACAAAATACTGCAATAAAAACACCACGATCATGTAGAACAGGTTAATACGAACATTTTAAGGCCAAAATGACTAGGCTCACTTCAACATTTACAGATAGGGGGGCGACAATATTCCATTGTAAAGTCATTTGGAGAAGAGTTGATGGAGCCGTAAGTGCCTCCATGAACTCTGTCACTGTGTCATGGCAATAGTGCAAATATAGTGCAATTCATAAAGTGCAATACTCAGTGTAAATATATTCGTTGTTGTGAGGTACTTACAGCGTGTAACATGACAACATGTCAAGGAAAACTGAGGCAGATATCACAGCAGTACAAGGTGTAAATAAGTGTTTCCTGCTTCAATGCAAAGTCCAGTTCACAGTTATGGCAGGTCTGGGGGGGTGGAGGATTATGAGGGATGTCCTTGAATGTCCCACAGTATGGCATTTAACATGTCTATCTTGCATCTCTACAGGTGTTTTTATTGCTCGAAAACATGTATTATTAGTGTGAGAGGGGTCAACATATGTCTGACCTGTAATGTGACCTGGCTGGTCACCTTGTCTCCATGGAGATCATGTTTATTGCCATACTGTGGAATATTCTAGGTCCATCTGCATAGAGATAAAGAGGTGGAACTAGAAAAGTTACATATCTTAAATATATGAAGTAGTTTTGATTACTTGACTTTGTTTTTTGTTTTGTTTTTTCATCCATTTATCAACTATTATTCAGCTTTTTTATTCTTCACTTTACAGGTGAACCCAAAGGATCTAGATTCGAAGTATGCTTACATCCAAGTTACCCATGTCACTCCTTATCTGGATGATAAAGAGCTGGAAGATCGTAAAACAGATTTCGAGAAAAGCCACAATATCCGAAGATTTGTTTTTGAGACACCTTTTACCGTGTCGGGGAAGAAGCAAGGAGGAGTAGATGAGCAGTGCAAGCGAAGGACCATTCTCACAAGTAAGTCATATAGTAGAAATTTGCATTAAAGGTGCATTGTGTAACTTTTCGGGTGGAGGGTCTGTCAGATGTTTTTCTCCCTGGAAATGTTATTGCTTTGTCTGGAACATTTCATAGTATGGTATTAAACGTTTCTGTCTTTGAGGAGACTAAACCAGAGAAAGTTACAGGTCAGATCTGTGGAAAGGCAACCCCGCTCACAGTCAGAATGCTTGTTTTTCTAGGTATTTTTGAGCTAGAAAACCACCTGTAATTTAATAAATGTAAGATAGAGCAGGTTAATGTCATACTGTGGAATATTCCAGGCAGACAAACAAATACAAATACAAACAAGCAGGTGATGGACCCTCCACCAGAAAAGTTACACAAAGCACCTTTAAACATTTTCAAACTAAAATCCTAATATTTGTATGTTATTTTAGCCACCCACTGTTTTCCATATGTGAAGAAGCGAATAGCTGTGATGTACCAGCACCAGACTGACCTAAGCCCTATCGAAGTGGCTATTGATGAGATGAGCGCCAAGGTTGCTGAACTTCGCCTGCTTTGTTCCGCCTCTGAGGTTGACATGATAAAACTGCAACTAAAACTACAAGGCAGCATCAGTGTCCAGGTAAAAAAGCATAACAATTAAATAAACTGTAGATAAAATCACAATATAATTAATAGGATTGTCTTATTTTGATAGGTGAATGCTGGACCACTTGCATACGCCAGAGCTTTTCTAGATGACAGCAGTGCCAAGAAATACCCGGACAACAAGGTTAAACAGTTAAAGGAAGTATTCAGGTAAACAGTTTTTATAATTACACAGATATGTAGGTGTATCATGATAATTACTATATTAATTTATTGTTCAGTACCTGATAAACTGAACAATAATTTTTACAGTTCGGTATTTACTAGCATAATACTTTTTTTTACTAGTGGGGACCTTTTTGTACTACTACGGTCAGATTTGTAGAACTGTAGAAGGTTGAATAAATAACTAATAAATAACAGTTTCATATATTTATTGCAGCTCATGTTCATTGACAATACTGTACATAGAGAATTGATTTTCTGGGGAAATCCTACTTCAGGATTATAGTGTCATTCAGTATAATCGTGTATCGTCTATATTTTCTTCAACAATACTTCAAAATGTGTTAACTGCAATATTTAGTGCTTATTTTATTGCGTCGCCCCCTACAGGCAGTTTGTAGATGCCTGTGGTCAAGCTTTGGGAGTGAATGAGCGGTTAATCAAAGAGGATCAGCAGGAGTACCATGACGAGATGAAGGCCAACTACAGAGACCTGACCAGGGAGCTGTCCAACATCATGCATGAACAGGTAGAACAATCAAAATGGTGGACATCAACAAACCAAAATCTTCACGTAAAACTGTATTAACTAACCATATTAACTCATTCTCTATTGTAATATTTTTGTGCTGGACCATGCAGATTGGAGGGTAAATTTCATTCTAATTTCATTCTATCAACTAATGTATCTTTCTTTTAAAATACTAATACAACTATTACCTTCACTTAAGCCTATTTAGTATAATCTATGTAGCTTATGTAAGCACTTTCTCTGATTGTCAGTTTGTTCTAATCTTATGCTATATAAGGTTTTGAAGCAGATTATTACATTTAAAGATCCTATATTATTATGCAAAATTGACTCTAGAATGTTGAATGAAATTGACTTTATGATGCTGTTACCTCATCAAAACATACCTGGAGTTGTGTTTTGTTTCATTTACACGCTTTATTATTAGTCTGTCTACATCGCTAAAGCTCAAAAAGCTCTGTTCAGGAGAGATTGACAATTCCAGGTCTGAAATGATCCAAATGATTATAGAGAAGGTGTATGGAGTTTAAAAACACAGTGGAGCACTTCCTGTATTACCACATGATATCACAAGGTTGAACAGAGTATTTTCTATTTGATTGGAGAACTCAGCCTAAATAAGCAGGGTGTGAATGAAACAAAACACAACTCCAGGTATGTTTGCGATGAGGAAACAATATTATAACAGATGAGATCAGAAAATAGCGTAATTTGAGCCCTTTAAACCAATTAACTGTTATTTTTAAATGATCTTTTCCAGATTTTCCCAGTAGAAGATGGCTCCCGAAATGCCCTATCGGACTCAATGGGTATCTTCAATGCTATCAGTGGCACTCCAACCAGTGCTAACCCACACGGCTCCACCACCATACTCTGATATATAGAAGATGGGGAATCATCTGCCAATCAAATCATTTTTTTTACCCTGGCATATTCCTACAGCTGGAAAAGAAGAAGACAATTGTTTCCTATGGAGACTTTTTAGAAATTGAGAAATGGGCTATAATATATATCTTATTTTGTCTTACTGTTTTTAATCCTGATGTTGTTGAACACATGTAGTGACTAAGCAAAATAAGCAAGCTAAGAGAAAGTGTGTTATCTAAATGGTCCTGGCTTCCCTGACTCCACCCTGTAAACACGATACAAAGGTCAAAATACATGGACTGCTTTAGCATTTGTAGTATTACATCTTTTTATTGTAAATGCATAATATTTTTTACACATTTCCTAGTTCTGCTCCTCCATGGGTTGTGTGCAGTGAATTTTTTTATCTTTCCGATGGATTTATTGCTATTTTTAAGCCAATTGATGTTTGTTTTATAAAGCCAAGCAAAGTACATCATTTTAAAATATTTTCTGTAAAAGAAATTTGTGCAATATTTTAATGTTACCAAGGCGACAGTACCTACCTATGCTCTTGCCAAAGACATCAGAATAGACTGTGCAATGCTAGGCGCAACATTTGCAATCTATTGTGTTCATAGATAAAATGACTTTTATCACTATTAAAAGGATAGTTTTACGTATTGGTTGTAAATATGGTTATGACTTATAAATAAAGAAAACAATACCATGCAATTTCTACTCAGTTGTTAACTTTTTTCATGTGTGTAACTAGGCCTCTCACAATAATTACCAAATTGACTTATCATTCAATATATGAAAGATGGCACAATATATTTTGGGGCTCAGTATTTATTATGTGTACATTTGGCTAGATTCGGAGTGTTTTTGTTGTAATACAATAAGATTTGAGCTGTAGAGGGTTGAATAGCAAACTTCTATGGCAAATTATTAGCTATGTCGCTTACTTATTTGTTGCAGCTTATGTCTTTTGATTGATACTGTCTGAAAAAAAATGGTTCACTGGGATTATTCAACATTATTGTAATTGTGTCGGTGGCATAAAGCTGCTTCAGTAGTATTGTTTATTGCAGTATATCTCTAAAGCAATATATCACTTGAAAATTTGTTATTTGACAGGCCTATGTATAACTTACCAAACTGCTCTTATTTGTCTGATTTAAGATCAGAGGTGCACTTGAATTATTTTTTCTGAAGTACTAAACTTCAGGAGAAGAGTCAAGAGAATTGAAAAGAGTTTAATTAGATACTGCAAACATAGCACCTTTTGTTAATTTGTTTTCTGCTAAAACTATCTATAATATACTACAGTGTTTTCATTGTTCTCTTGTGTTGTCAGCAGGTGGTGTACTGGATGTCCACACTTATAGAAGGGTTAGGCAAGTTGTGTTGTTAAGTCCTAGTTCATTACATTTTATATGTTAAGATACTGAAATTATAGAATAAATGTTTCTATCTTAATCTACTCTCCTCACACACCATCCTTATCTCCAAGACCAGATCAGTAGCCATAAAGTGGTCAGTGGCGTGTGGCGTGTGGAGTCTGGTCCAGACGTCCAGCTCACGGGAGGTGGTGACAAATAGAGGAGGAGGGGGGCGTTCCTCTGGAGGTTACTTATGAACCATTTCTGCTCTCTGCACGGCCTTCATGCAGATTCTCCTAGACACGGGTGAATAATACCTGTATGAATGTTATTTTAAGGATTTAAGGTAGCAGCAATCATGACAGGTAAGTCTTGGTACATTTTTAAATGTTTACTAAAATATGTACTAAGTATCATAATATTGTATTTTCATTGCTTTTGCAGAAAAGAAGAAAAGTGTAAGTGATGTTATTGGTACCACCTTCACAGTAATCACAGTAAACAGTGCTATAATTTTCTGTGTGAAGACAAATAGATATGTTGTTAGCTTTGTTGTGTGTTGTTATAGGTAACAGTATGTGGATACCCACTGAGCATCTTTTTTATTGTGGTCAATGAGTTCTGTGAGCGCTTCTCCTACTATGGCATGAGGTGAGCATAGAAACGTTAACATACTTTGGGCACCATTTTGTTGTATAATTATAATTTTTCTTCTGCAGCTGTGCTTGTTCTGTACTTCAAGTACTTTCTTAAGTGGGATGATGATTTTGCCACTACTATCTACCACACATTTGTGGCCCTTTGTTACCTTACCCCCATCTTTGGTGCCATCATAGCTGACTCATGGCTGGGCAAATTTAAGTAAGTTTTTAGATTTTTATTTGTTTTCATATCTCCCCTTCACTCTCTAATGTGATACTTTTTTCATAGGACCATTATTTACCTGTCCATAGTCTATGCTATTGGACAGATAATTTTGGCTGTAAGTGCTATTCATGACATCACAGATACTAATAGAGATGGGGTGCCTGACAACATGACCTTCCACATGTGAGTTAAAGTGACTTCTCTACAGAGGAGAGATGACTGTACAATCCTAACATAAACATTTCTGTGCCCTCAGTGCTCTGTCCATGGTGGGGCTGTTGCTCATTGCCTTGGGCACAGGGGGCATTAAACCATGTGTGGCTGCATTTGGAGGTGACCAGTTCTCAGATGAACAGGTCAGAGCACAGGAACACGTGCTGACCTGATATCAGCAGCACCTTGTCAGCACTTCTATATCTCTGTCTAAAGCAGTTATATTTTATTGACTAATAACCCACATGCACCTCTGTGTTTCTGACACTGACACTCATTGTCCAAAGCCAGGGTCTAGGTTTATATTAGTTCATGTACAGTAATATCTATTTAAGTGAAATTCAATTATCTCATCTCACAAGTAACACTAATTTGTGTGTAAAATATGCATTGAACAGGAAAAGCAGAGAAGTACATTCTTTTCCATCTTCTACCTCTCCATCAATGCAGGCAGTCTGCTGTCCACCATCATCACCCCCATCCTCAGAGGTACAACAGAAGAACATCACAAATGAACTCAAGAGATTTCAAAAGAAAAACTCAAACTAATGTCTGTATTTGTCTGCAGCTCAACAGTGTGGAATTCACACCAAACAGCAATGCTACCCTCTGGCCTTCGGGGTCCCTGCTGCCCTCATGGTAGTCGCCTTAAGTGAGTTAGAAATTATTTATTTACTGATCAGTCTTCAGTGCTTTTTATGTCTCTCACAAAGGTCAGAATTAGATTGTGTGTACAAACCCTTGACAATTGACAAGTTTAACATCCTGTATGTTAAACTTGTATAAGTAAAAATTAGTTTCAGCTTTTAAAATTTAGTTTGTCTGTACAAATTAAGATTGTTATTTTAAAATATGTTATTTGATGACTCAAAATATTTTGTCCTGTAGTTGTATTCATCGTTGGAAGTGGTATGTACAACAAGACAGAGCCTCAGGGAAATATCTTGGTGAAAGTTTGCAAGTGTGTTGGTGTAAGTCCTCTCCTCAAACTCTATGAAAATGTTACTATGCGTTAATTATTATCAGGTTAGTCATGTTTCTTTGTTATACCTGCAGTTTGCCATCAAGAACCGCTTCAGACATAGAGATTCTAGATTTCCCAAGAGAGAGCACTGGATGGACTGGGCAGAGGAGAAGTACGATGTAAGTGTAGTTTACTGTTTAGTGTGCATTGTTCAAAAAGGAGCGAAAATAATATTGTAATGTTTTCTTTTGTTTTTTCAGAAACTCCTGATTGCTCAGGTGAAGATGGTGCTCAAAGTGCTCTTCCTGTTTATCCCTCTGCCCATGTTCTGGGCACTCTTTGACCAACAGGTAATCCAGTTTACATGATCATCTTATATTATTATATTATCTTATATACATTTGGCCTATATGGCAAAGAACATAGAAACTTTGTGTTTTCTTCTAATAATAGCGGATTTACCAGACATATTTTGGCGGTGGCACTTCCGCCTTCATCAAAGGTGTCAGCAGACTGCTCTGACGTGTCTCTGATTAGCTCTTGTTCCCTCAGTGGTCAGTTTGACGGCTCTGGCAGATCTATCAGACTGACCATGCCTATCATTGCATGGTGTTCTCTGGAGAAGAAAGTCCCAGGTGTGAGTCAAGGTGAACGCCCCCTTGATTTCTATTGACGATGGGGCATTTACTAGTCTGATAGATCTGCCACATCCATCAAACGGACCACACCTAGGAACAACAGCTGATAAAAGATATGTCACAGCAGTCAACTGACACCTCTGAAACAGGCGGAGGTGCTACTGTCAAAACATGTCAGATAAATAAGCTATTTTGCTTTTTATTAACTTAGAAGAAAACACAAAGTTTATGTATAACAAGAAGACAAAATGAATTTTCTAAACATGGCAAAAAATATACATTGAGTACATTTTAGGGATGCACAAATCTGATACTGATATTGGATATCTGCTTCCAAATATCAATTTAGCCGATATTCCAGAGGAACATATAAGTTGATGCAAAGAGACTAGTTACTGGTCATAGTCTGCCCAGAGAGTCTCATAATATTTGCATGTTTATTTATACACATTGGTTCTGCCATTGAGAGATGAATAACACATACATAACACATTTGGATCAGTTTTGTCTTATTTTATTTAAATTTTAAGAAGTAAATGCTGTTTTCAGTCTACACTGGTATCGGTTGATATCAGGGATCGACAGATACTTAAAGCCGGATCAGTGCATCGCTAATAAATTTACAACCCATGTTCTTATGACATTGGCTTTAGATTGGGACATTTGCTAAATAAAATGTGTTCTCAACAGGGATCAAGATGGACGCTTCAAGCCACAACCATGAATGGAGATTTTGTAAGTCAGTGTATGAATCTTTTGAAAATACCAAACAATAACAATTTACTTCAGATTTGTTTATGTCTTTTTTGTCTTCAACAGGGAGCTTTTGTTGTACAACCTGATCAGATGCAGGTAAGACAAACTGAAATCAAATATAACACCTATAACAGAACTTTTTGTGTATTGTCATGGTACTTTGCTCCTTTACAAATATTATAAGAGAATAACATATTTTTCTATACCAGACTGTTAACCCAATCCTGATCCTTGTTCTGGTGCCCATCATGGACAGTATTGTGTATCCACTGATTGCAAAATGCAACCTTAACTTCAGGTATGTCTTAAATCAAGCTCTTCATTAAGTAGTAGGCTCCTATAAGTACCATGATTAGACTAGACTGAAGTGTGTATATGTTTCTTGCAGCCCACTGAAGAGAATAACTGTGGGGATGTTCCTGGCCGCCCTTGCCTTCGTAGCAGCTGCTCTGGTTCAGTTACAGATCGATGTAAGTTTATTTAAATACTTCAACTGCAGCAGAAATGTATTGATATAATAATTTAATCACACTCCTTTTCCAGCAATCACTGCCCAAGTTCCCAACAGCCACTGAGTCCCAGGCCAAGTTTATCAACATGATGAGCACTCCTATAACTGGACAGGCTGGGGAGTTTCCACTGAATCTACAGCCTTATAAGGTAGTTATTGGTAGTATGGTAAAGGGCCCATATTACATTATTTTCTGATCTATGTTATAATGTCGTTTCCTCATCAAAAACATACCTGGAGTTGTGTTTTGTTTAATTCGAACATGCTTAACACACAAATCCTGCATATTTTGGCTCAAACAGAAAACACTCAAAAAGTAAAAGGTAGCTGTTAACCTGAAATCCATAGCTTCATGACATCACAAAGTGGAATAGGGCATTTTGAGCTTTGGACTTGTAGTGTAAGGGCAGATTAATAATAAAGGGTTACTGAAATGTGTGTGAATAAAACAAAACACAATTCCAGCTCTGTCCTTGATAAGGTAGTAATGTTCTTACATGGTCAAAAGTTCACAAGTCAATTTTAATGTCAAGATAGAGTTGTTTATTTTATAATCTCACACAAACTTCCTCTTTCAGGCCTCTCCAGATTATAATACATTCACTAATTCATTCACATTGACCGTGGATGGTGCTTCCTCTGTGGTCACTTTAGCCGATGGCACACGTAACACTTTGGTCATAATCAAGGACGGCGTGTCACCCAGGCACATTTCGGTAATAAAACAATTTACAGGATGTTTCTTTATGTGTTTGAACCTATTTCCCAGTTTAACAGTAATCCTTTTTCTGTAGTTCGAGGACATCATAGCCAAACCGGATCAGGGCAAAAATGCTATGAGGTATTGAATCATAATTGTTTTTACTACACATTTATTAGGTCACATTTTTATATAGTGCTTTTCCACCTTCAAGGCTTTCAAAGCACTTTACATCAAGGAACCACTCACCCATTAACACACACACACATTCTTACATACAGTGGGGGCAAGATGGGTTAAGTGTCTTGCCCAAGGACACAACAAAAGCATTTATCTGTGGGAGCTAAAACTGCAGTGGATCTGAGCGCTCTACCAATGATGTTTATGTCAAGAAAAATTTAAGTTACTAAACTGGAATAATTCTTAATAAACTAAGGGTTCTTCAGGTTAATAAAGGTGTAGTAATTATAATGTGAATCTATAATATGACCCTTCTTCATTTAATACAGATTCTTCAATGGATATGGTTCTGCACTTAACATCACATCTGGTGAATTGGAATTTGGAGACGTTGTGCCCCTTAACATGTCAGAATATCGCAATGTAGATTATGGAAAGTAAGGCTGCAACTTTATGCCATTTCCTTTATTACAGAAATCTTTAGTTCATTAGTTCTGATTTTTTTACTGTGCGTTTTGATTTTCAGAGCAAAGTTTAGGATCCTTGATGAAGCAACCATGGCAGCGTGTGATTATGAACAGACACTGGACTTTGGCAGTTCTTTCACTTTGCTCATCCCACCAACTTTGAAATTTGGACAAGTGGTACTGTTATATTTATATTGTTTTGTTTACTTACTTGTACATACAAAATCATATTCTGAATAACTATGTGCTTGTTATTGTAGTGTGAGGGCATCGAACAAGTGATGGACATACAGCCTAACAGCATCCATATGGCCTGGCTCATCCCTCAGTACTTCCTCATCACTGCAGGGGAGGTGGTCTTCTCTGTCACTGGGTTAGAGTTCTCCTACTCTCAAGTAAGTTTACTGTTGTATTTAGTTTTAGTTGTTAGTTTTTAATTAAAGGGAGGAAAGCCTGAACTCTTATTGGTTTCAAAAGGGTGCTACAGTCTTGGAATCTGAAATTACTTGGACACAGTAGCTCACACATTACAATATAATACCTAAAAGCAAAAAATCACAATTGAACCTGTTGAATCTTCATATAAAGGACACACACAAGCTTTGCTCATTCTTACACAGCCTCACGTGAAAGCTCAGAACCTCCAGAATTCACTCACTGAGCTGCAAAGGCTGCACTGGCACTTACTAATGATTGGTAGCGCTGAAGTTTAGGTAGTAATCAGATCAGAGAGAAGCAATTTCATTTTAAAACAACTGAAATTAGACATTACGAGTAGCAACCCAAATGAGAGACTGATGTGAGGCTCATTCTGCTTTCTGTCTGTCAATGACAGCAATTTGGCTATCATGTCCAGTGTTTTTGTAATTAAAAATAAATCAGCACTACAGTGGTTATCAGTAAAAACAATATTAGGTTTGAACATATTTGTCTTGTATCTGGGTGCATTGATAGACTTATATTACAATATCAACGAGGAAAAATATAAATGGTAATAATAACTTGATGAAGATGAATGTATATATGTAAAAAGAAATGTATATAGGTTGTGTTTATGTAGTTTGAAATACAAATACATACCCTCCCTTGAATAATATAGCAATGGATTAACATTATGGAGTGATTTAACACATCTCTTTGAATAGGCTCCCAGTAACATGAAAGCAGTGCTGCAGGCTGGCTGGCTGCTAACCGTCGCCGTTGGTAACATCATTGTGCTGATTGTTGCTGAGGCGGCCACACTTCCTGATCAGGTGGGTGGGCTAACTCACACTCCATATGTTCTGGGTTTTATGTGCAAAACCTCATCTCCTTACCTTATCCTCCTCTCTTTTTGTCATTCAGTGGGCAGAGTATATTCTTTTCGCCTCCCTGCTGGTTGTGGTGTGCATTATCTTCGCTATCATGGCCTACTTCTACACCTACATCGACCCAGCCAAGATCGAAGCCCAGTTTTCTGAGCCAGATGATGAGAAGAAAAGGAGAAGTTTGGAGATGGTGAAGAGGGACTCCATAGAGCACCACAATGAGAAGAGGAAATTCTCAGATCCTGACAACATCTTCCAGACCAAAATGTGAAGCTTTTTTTGTCTAAATATGCTGTGCGTGTAGTTGTGAGTGGATGACTGAGCGAGTGCTGGATCGACTTAAAATTGATATCAGTATTAGATAATAGCTGTGAACCATTTTGAGGTTATTCCAATTACATTTGAGTAGTTTTACTTTAAAGTTGTTTTAAATGTATGTATTGTAAAATAACTGTAAAATATTAGAGTTTTATATGCTATATAAAAGTTGCAGCTACTCTGGACATTGTACCTTGGTCTAGGACAAGGCTGACTTGACAAAGTTGGCCATAAAAATAATTGCATTTGTAGTTGCCAGTAACACACTGTGTACACAAGGTAATAGACCACACCTATGTTGCACTTAAAAATAAAAGCTTGCCAAGTAACCAGTTTATGTCTAATTGTGTATCTATGTAGAGTAAAGGAGCAGTAAGCTGCTTAGTTAGCATTAGATCTTTATTTCTCATGTCACTTTGAAAGCTTACAAGGAGCTTACATTTAAACTTGGGAATTCTCAGATGACACAAGCAAAGATTATATACAGTACTATAAACTGTCCGCTATAATAAAGGAGACCAAATGTACAGATTTCGTAGTCATTTCCGTAGCATATGTTTTCTGTAAGGTATAGATATTTTTGCCCATATCCATAAAGCATTCCATAATCCATACTTACTCTTTGCAGTTATAAAAATATCAGATATTTCTTTCAATCCCTGTGTTGACAAGTGCGTCTTGAAGCAACTCCTCAACATTATTGCTGCATTAGCACAGTAGTAAATTCTGGAACTCTTAAGTAAACATATATAGTAAAACATGGCTATTAGCGACTTTTTCATTTGTTTTTCCTAATACAGATTTTTTAAAATACTTCACACACTTTCAAAGTGCAAAAAACAGGATCTGAAATTAGAAAAAGGTGCAAATCATACTACAAACGTCTGGTGAGAGATAAAAGAGGACATGGCACTCCTAGCATCGTGTGGAAGTGAGACAGGAAATGTTTAGAGAAAAATCAAAATGGCGTCTGGACTTGGCAAGTTTTTTGGCCTGATGTCGTATTTCCTGTTATGGTCCTTGCCACATGTTCTCACCTCCACATTACTTTCTAAATAATGCTAAGGAAAAATAACAAGCAAGGAGAATACTTCGCGATCAGCATTCAGTCAGCCATAGAGGCCTTTTTGTCCTTGGCGGCATTCATTATAATTTGTCCTAATGAGAATTTAAATGTCAATCGTAGACACTTTCAAAGTCATTTCAGAAACACTGCTGACCTCCTCTGACAACATCTACACAATTGAAAACTGCCTACACGGTAACAGCACAAATAAAGTCTCCCTCTGCCTACACAAAAGATCGTCATATCTCCTGAACAGTGCGTTTTGTTGCTCAGCAGGAGACTGAAATGTTAAATTGGATCAGCTTCTGAACCACTGAAATACTGAACGGAAATACAAATACAGACATAATTAAACGTGAAATGAAAAGAAATGCCAAAAATAAAGATGTGAAGATCTTAAAAGGCAAGGCATTTTCTGTTTCTTTCTGTTGGAGTTCTTGAAATTTTTAAATATCTACTTTTGAAACATGATCAGTATCTACAAAATGCACATGACCATTTTGTACACAGTGATTTGTTTTTCCCCCCGCAACAAAACAAAAACTACTTGTAATCATGTACAGGTACAGCATGGCGACCCCTCCTCTCCACTTAAAGCACTTTACCTGAGGTTTCAATAAGAATGCTCTTTTTTTGCCTCTAGGGGGAGTCGGAGAGCACACACGCAAGCACACTCGCACCCATTTGCACAACTCATCATGCTTTCCTATGGGGATGACGCCTGCATTCAGCGGAGGAGGAGTGGAGGAATCTTGTCTTGAATTAGGGGAGAATTTTCAGCTCTTTGTCGAGAAAATTTCAGGCGCTCTTGAGTTTTGTCTTGCAAGTGGAGCATTTACAAAGTCCGACAAAGCCTACAAGCGTCCCGAGTTGCTCCGCCGTCTAAAAACTACAAAAAGCTCCTTCCAAGAGTTTCTCAGTGCACTGCTAAGAAGTGTCTGGAGTTCGGTATCTTTTTTTTTTACAAGCTTGGTTGACCCTTTCTCAAAAGCAGGTGGTCAATTGTGTTCAGCTGGTTTAGAGTGACCCCTGCTGGCAAACGTGGCCGCTGTGTGAAGGGTTGCGCTTGGGGAAAGAAGCTGGTCTGTGGTAGCCAAGCGATCACTAGGTAGAGGAGGAAGACGTCCTGCTTGTCGAATAACTGCAAGAAATGGACATGAAAAAATTATATTATAGCTTCATTTTTCACATGATATACTGCATTATAATGTAAATATGTTTTTAATTTTAGCATACAGCTAATGGTGATGTAGTTGAAGATTTTTAACCAAGAACCAACCATGAGTAAATGTGATTACAGAATGTTTTAATAGTTTCATATTAATCTAAACTGTAAGTATACACTGACTTTATTTATGTAAAAAGTAACTTTTTGGTTGCGGGTCTGTAACGTGCTTGTTTCTATAGACATGTTATTGTGGTGTCTGGAATGTTTCACAGTATGACATTAAACTGCTCTACTTTACATTTATTCAATTACATGCCATTTTATAACTCAAAAATACCTAGAAAAACCGGCATTCTGACTGTGAGCGAGGTTTCTTCTCCACAAATCTGACCTGCAACTTGGTCTAGTATGGTCTCCAGAAAGTTAGAAACCTTTAATACATACTGCAAACCATTCCAGTCAAAGCAATAACATCTCCATGGAGAAAAACACAATAAAACAATAACAATATTTTTATCAACCATCTCATATTTGTCAGGCCTACTTATTTTAATCAAGGTGGGTAGCTGGAAGTGTGGGGACTTAAAATGTACCTCTGAAGTCGGTGGACCATGTGCGCCACGAGTGAATCTGAGATGCCGGGATAAGCCTCCTCTGCTAGTAAGATGGCCTCCCGCAGCTCATCCAGGACCATGGGGTTACCATTCACTTGCTCCTGTCGCGCCTTCAGCTACACACACAAGAGGAGGGGTTATACACAAATTGCTTTGTTTCAGATGACATCACCACATTCTATAGGCCAGTGTTATTTAACACAGATGGGGGGCAGCTAAAATGAATATTGTTAAAATGGAGATGGTGTTTGTAATATTGTGAGTTCTTGGGTCTAGTCACTAATAAAAATTAAACATTTGTTCATTTATCTTTTGAATATTTCATGTTAAAGTACAACGTAATCAAATTGGAAATCTGTCTGTTGCCCCCATAGATTGTACAAAGAAGTGGACTAAGGGAGTTTAACGTCACCCATAGTGTTCAGCTCCAGTCAAATGAAGCTCACCAAGGCCTGCCGGTATTGGGCAACTTTGGAGCAGAATTCCATATTAGGAATAGATATTTATTTATGGACAAAATAGCAAAATAATAACACCACAAATCATGTAGAGAGGGTTAATACAAACCAAAGACCAAAATGATGAGCCTGACACCAGCAGTTACAGAAAGAGAGGCGACGTTTTTTCAGTACAAAGTGAACTGCAGTTGGAGTCGATAGTGTCGGAAGCACGCCCCCCCATTCCACAAACCACAGTCACAATAGTGGTGGGCATCTGTCATAACATGCATTGCTAATTTTCTTCTAAATTTTCAGATATGAACCTTTTAACAATATCTTTAATATTGTTGTACAATACAATGTATGCCCTCAAGCTTCTGAAAGCTGCTTACATATTGATGGTTGCAAAATTAACCACAAATTAACCCATCCTGAATACATTTCTGTAACCATAATAGGCATCAGAATGTGTAGTAATAATACCTCAGCTAATGCAGGAGAGATGACAGTGGTCAGGCTCTGTGAATAAGGCCTCTTTGGAATGTCTTTTGTCTGTGGAGAAAATAGAAACAATTATTAGAGCTTGCTTGAGGGGCAAGTCTTTAATCAGAACATTACTAACTCCCACCCCATATGACACAACTCCCGCATGGCATACTTTTAAAAATATAGTTATATTTCAGATTTTCTTGTACCTTGTCTGTTGCTCCAGACTGCCCCTCTCCGTTCTGCAGCTTCTTGGGGTCCTTCTCTCTGATGGTGAAGATCCAGTCATCGCTGCCGAAATCGTTCCCACCTGACGCCTGTCCATCCTGTTCTCTGATTGAACGAAAGGAGAAAGCTGCTTAGTTATATTAGGAGATGAAGATTAAGATGAAGTCATGTATACACACTGTACAAAATAATATATACTTTCAGTATTGTACATTTTCTAGCAATTAAGTACAATGTAATAGCATGTTGAATAGAAATTTTTACACTGTGTATAACATTATACTTAAAGGACCCATATTGTGCTACTTTCTGATCTATGTTATAATGTTGTTTCCTCATCACAAACATACCTGGAGTTATGTTTTGTTTCATTTGCACATTTAACAGACAAACACCACATAACTGGTTCTTCTCTCAGACAAAAAACACTCTGTTCTACCTTGTGATATCATGCTGTAATATAGGAAGGGATTCACTGTGTTTGTTTTTAAACTCCTCATACCTTCACTATAATCATTTCAATAATTTTAGACCTGGAATTGCCAATCTCTACTAAACAAAAGGTAAAAGGTAGCTGCTAACTTGAAAACTCCCACTACATGACATCACAAGGTGGAACAGGGCATTTTGAGTTTTGGAGATGTAAACAAGCTAATAATAAAGGGTTACTCAAACATGTGTGAATGTAACATAGCAGTGGTGAATACGTAACAATGTATTAAGAGCAATGTAAAGTAACGTGTACAGAATATACTTACGAGTCTGATTCATCTGAACTGGACTCATTGGCTCTGGCCTGCTCTGCCTTCCACCTCTTGTACTTGTCCACCAGCTCGATCAAGTATGAGGTCTTTTTCGCGTGGCGCACAATCAGCTTATGCTTCAGCAGCTCTTTGGCAGTTGGCCTCTGGAGCATATAAAAAAAGAAAAGTTAAAATCCCTCCAAAAATCTGTCAGTTCAATAGTAACGCCAACAAGAAGTACTCACAAAACTGGGCTCTTTGTTGAGACAAGCCTCGACAAACTCCTTGAGCGGTTTGCTGTAGTTGCCCTCCAGTGTGGGCGGGTTGTTCTTTGGAATAAGGAATAAAACCTTCATGGGGTGCAGTTCTGAGTGCGGAGGCTCACCTTTCGCCAGTTCAATGGCTGTGATGCCCAGAGACCAGATGTCAGCCTGTAAAGCACACAACCACACAGTAATACATAAGAATACATGCAGGATCTTTCCCTTATATGAATTAGATTTGCATTATTCAGTGCATTGCAAAAGTCTTGTTTTTATGTAAACATGGCCCAGTATGGCATTAAACTGATCTATCTTGCATTTATTCAGTTACAAGTGTTTTAATTGCTCAAAATTGCTTCCAAAAACATGCATTCTTACTGTAAATGGGATCACCTGCCCAATGATCTGACCTATAACTTGGCCTGATGGTTATCTTCCTGAAAATTGACAGGTTAATGCCATACTGTGTTACAGGCTACATGATGTACACATGTAGACATTTGTATTAATTTATTAAAGCAACAATGTGTATTAAAAGACAAGATACTAGATAAGATAATGCACTTGAAGATGTTACGGCCCCCACCCTTAGATCATTCCCCTTGTAATATATTTTGTATTAAGTCTTGTCTGTTGCTCATGTCTCCTTCAAGCAACCCTGGCTGTGTGAGTCATTTCATTTGACTGGTGGACTACTCTCCTGCCTGGTCCTGATTCACTGCTCCATGCAGGACTGTACCTAATGCTACTTCCCATCCTGAGTCCCCTGCTTGGCCAAGGCCAGCCACATAACCCACACAATTCATACAAGATGACAAAAGATATATTTATAGCTAACTAACAATTTTCAGAGTACTATGAAATTTATGTAAATAACTGGTATACTGTACAGACTTCTCACACTGCTGTTACCTTAGAGTCATATGCTGACTGCTTGATGACCTCTGGTGCCATCCAGAACGGTGTGCCGACAAAAGTGTTGCGTTTGATCTGGGTGTCTGTGAGCTGCCCCGCCACGCCAAAGTCCGCCAGCTTCACCTCTCCCTGCTCAGACAGCAGCACGTTGGCCGCTGTGGAAACAAAAAGACACAGATCAATATGGCTGCCTCCGCACAATGCATTGTCTCTCAAACTACTCCACATTCTGTCCAAGTAATTTATCTGCATGGCCAATTTATTCGCTGATAGCTGTCAAAGAGCTCTTAGTAAGCCAATGCACCGCCACCTTGGAGATTTACAAACTCCCAAATGAATGGAAGCAAGTCGGAATCAATACCATTAAGGTGGTATTTGATATTTGTGTTCTGGGATAACATTGTCCCCTGGCAGCTACATGGTGAAGAGTCTTGCACCTTTAATATCTCTGTGGATCTTCTTCTCTGAGTGCAAATATTCCAGGCCCTTCAGGATCTCTCTCAAGATGGTTGCAATCTGGATCTCATCTAGGGGCCCTGGTTCCATCTAAATACAAAACAGAAAATCATCCAGATGAGCAGAGAATTAGGTCCCTATTTGGCTAGAACTAAGTCTGTTACAATAATTATTATATCTACTTCAATAAATAAAAGCTGGAACAATGTTTTTAGGGTCACTGTTTATTGTGTGCACATTTTCTTTGCACCAGTTTGATTAATTTTTTAAAAAAATATTTTTTGGCAATATGATAAGATTTAAGCTGTAAAAGGTTAAATTAATAACATCTATGACTCATTACAGATGCACACTAATTACTAAAGTGTTTCACTCTGCTATTTATTTATTGCAGCTCATGAGTTTTTAACAACATTGTACATTTAGAATAGTGTTTGTGATTTAAATCTGCTCTTGGGTTATTGTGTCAACGGCACAAATTAGTTTCAATATTATTGTTTATCAGCAATATTTAGTTACTTAGCAATATATCACACTTGGTTTTATGGTTTTATACAGATATTGACAAAACGGTATCTAATCACAGCAAAACAGCATGTACTGAAAACAAGTCTATGTTTAAATATTATCATAGTCCAAAGCTATATCAGCTTCATAAGATACATTTGAATACATGTGTGTACATTTGCTACAAAAGCTTTCATTTTAATTAAAAGAGTTTGTGTGCAGCCCTAATAAACCTTAATTATAGCAGTGATCTCTATAGTAAGCTGTAGCTGTAATGTATTGCTTGTGGTCTAGTACTATAAAAAATAAATCACAAAATTGTTTTCAACATGAAATCTTGTGTAATTACGTTCCATTGATACTAGACAGGCAATTGTTTATTAAGGCGGTATTAAGGTGTATTAAGGTGGTGGAACTTACCAAATCTAATGCTGAGCCTCCTCCCAAGTATTCCATGATGATCCATAGCTTTGTGTCCTGCGCAGATTGGACAGAAAGAGCAACTCTTAAAGCAGAGAAATCTATGGAATTTAAGTAAGTGTATTGAACACAATCAGCTCTTTTATATTGCAACATTGACTGAGCCTATCTCCATCAGTAACACACCTTGAGATATGAGCCGTAATACTTGGTGATGAATGGGCTGTCACACTGGCTGAGCACAGTGATCTCCTGCTGGATGTCTTCAATCTCATCCTCTGCCTCTTCCAGGTCTATGATTTTGATGGCCACAACCTTCTGCGTGCGATTGTCGATGCCTTTGAACACTTCGCCAAACGAGCCCTTGCCTATGCGCTCCAGCTTGGTAAACAGCTCCTCTGGGTCCACTTTAGTGTTCTGGTAAAGGCAGGGAAATGGAGTTTGTGAGAAGAAATAAGATCTGAAGGGCAGGGAGCAAATGAGCAACAACAGCAGCAGTCACATTAATTCAGTACTGGCAACATCAGAAAGGAGAAAGAATGCCTGCATCACTGTTCACAAGTGTACATGAACCCACAACACCAACTACCATATAATGAGCAGAACAGTTCAGAGAGAGCATAGTACATATTAAGGTCTTAATGTAGAATTAACAATATTGTTTAAGAAGCAGCAAGCACCAGTGTTTATGATAAGTTTAGAAGTATATAGTCCCACATCTTATCACAAATGGAGGTATGCATGTGTCCACTACTGTGTAAAATAGCACATATTCATATCTCTCCAATAACAAGATTCATTCCCCATGGGCAGTGTCCTTAAGACAGAAGTTTGTGTGTGAGGTGATTCTTCTGCAACCCTGCATAGATGACTGACTGATATTTTGCTCTCAGAGCAGTGCACAGTAAAGAATATACTTACAGTATCAATCATGTTTATTAATTTTCTGAATATAAATAATGGACACAGTTGTGAAAGTGAGAGTGCCAGGCCCTGTACCCTCTCACCAGGGGCTTGCTCCCGTGCACACAGCAGACTCACCTGCATCCCGGGCAGGTGGCCCTGCACTGGAGAGTGGGCCATGGTGATGCTCCCTGCGCCACACCGCGGGTCTCGCAGACGCTTCAGTCGGTGTCGGTAAACACAGCTCGGTCGTTTATAAGTGATCAAAAACTTTGATGTCCGAGAAACAGTCCGCTGCTGTTGCTTCTGGTTAGGTTGTGCAGACTTTTCAAACCCAGTTCCTCTTGTCGAAGCCTGCTATGCTCTTTCAAGCAACTTCAAGGAGCCTTTAACAGCTGACCAAGCTCATAGCGGTCTGCTATGGCTAATTCGGAGAAATCCGCAATGTTAGCTTGCTAACCGAGGAGGTAACCATTTACTAGCATTAGGTTCACTCCAATTTCCAGCATAAAAGAGTGATGCCTCAACAACTAACACCGCATGTAAGTCATAGGGTGCGTCAACAGCCCTATATGTCTTCTCAGTCCTGCTGTCACTCTCTGAAAACGATTAAACTCCCAGCAGTGTTGTCAGCTAGCTAACATGGTTAGCTCGTTAGCTAGCCACCACAGACGACCTGACAAATGCTCTGTCAGCGGGCTGCCTCTGAGCACAGGCTGTCGGCATAACGCGAATGTCCGTCACAAAATCCGTCTCCGGACCGCTCCACCCAGGCTCGTATCTCTGCAGTACCGTGTACTCTGGAGCTCTACAGGTCACACATCAGCAGCGCGGACAGCTCGCCTCTGTTTTTGTTTCCTCCCTCACTTTCGTCCCGTACTCTCGGCCATCTTGTCGGGGCCGTGACGCCTGCTGCTGGGCGGACCCGGATCTGATCAATAACATCCCAGATCCAGGCAACATCCAGGACCCTATGATCCCGACCAACGTCTGCAAACATGGGGCAGAGATGCAGTGGTCAGGTGAACCAGAGATACTGCCTTTATTTTATTTTATTTTGAAGTCAGTAACCCCAAGCATGTTAAAATAAGTTTAGGAAACGTACAAGTTTGCTCATAACTCTGTACAGTTTGTTACAATTTAAATTAAAGTTGCTCAACTACTGACATGATTATTGAACAGTAATGGACCAAACCCTAAACATTCACTTGTGCTTGTTGTGCGCTCAGGAAACAGAGACGTTGCAGATGTGATGTCCTGTGACTGCGGTCAGACCATAAGGTAAGGGCTTTTAAAATGTTTCTTGTTACAGCCGATGAACTGATTTTATATTTTTTACTGGAACAATAACTATATTGTTGGCTCATATGGGGCCTGTAATTAGGTGGATCGCAGATCAACCCATGCGCTCGCTTATTGTAGTTCCCTGTTTTACACAGCAGAGGGCGCAATTGTATAGGCCCAAATAATTTCTATTAGCCCAAGAAATGCGGCGTCCTCCAATCCAGGGTAGGCTTCTAGTCGTAGGTTAGACTTCTGGTGGTAGGCTGATGTGTGCTCTATATTTTTCTTAGGTTTGTCGCATTTAAAACTATTTGGTCTCGAGTTACGATGGCTACTATAATGCCTTTAATCCCAAATAAGTCCTACTAAAATACATTCTAGATAGGCTAATCAGGGCTGTATGCCTCGACCCAATTGTTAGATAGTTGAGTTCATACCTCAAAATAACCCAGTGATATCTATGAATATGTGAAGAAGTGTTCAGCTTTTCTACAGATATATCATATTAGAATATTGCCCTGAGGTGGTATCCAGACGCCATCTCTGCCCAAGACTTCGCCCTTACTGTAGCCTGCTTCATGTTCATGCTTCATCGTGTTAAACCGAGTGTCCTAAACGTACATTTCATCTTTGTGCGGTGCCACTTGCATCTCGGAGACGGAGTGCGCCTCCTCGCAGCGGCAGCCTCTATCTCGTGTAGTGGGAAGCTCCCTCCTCCACGCGTAAATTATGTAGGGCAGGACGGGGATGCTTTGCCACATCCATTTGACAAACCCCGGCCGGTCAGCTTGAGGAATACACGCCACTCAAAGACTCTCTTTGTTTTTAACCAACCATTGTCAGAAGAAGGGCTGCGCATCACGACCTGTCTATTTTAAAGCCGTGAACAAAAGATGGACCTCACGGACCAGGGAGCTCAAATGGAGCCGTTGCTGCCAATGGTAAGGTATCCAACCACCTTGTCCTGTAAAACGTGAAGACGAGCCCCGTTCGGCGTTTCTAAGACAGTTAGCCTTGTAGGGTACCATAGCGCGTCTATTAGGTTTAGATGTCAATTAAATTCACCACGAAACATTCAGTCATTCATATTTTCGATATGCCTTTATCTTCTATAGGCCTAATCATATGTCTTTCCAGTCATTCATCCAAGACTGTACCTGGCGTGTACATTGGCAGATTTGTCATTGTCATTAGACAGAAACGACGCAGAGATATTCGCGCATTCATATAGGAGGTGAACACGGCAGTACAGAGTAATGAAATGTAGTTCCATACCTTTAAGACCTGTTTCTATAGACCTTTTTTGTATAGTAGACTATATCTATCCTATAGTCTATATTTTCCCGCAAACAAGTGGCTTCCAGTGAATAAAAGATGCTTGTTGCTTACAGCTGGGTACAGTAGACTACTTAAATATTTCTTCTCTGAGCCAGAGAGAAGCAGCCATTATTGAAGTATATTTACTTAATAATTACAGTCTTTTAATTAACACTTATTAACTAAATGAAGTCTCTGATTTCCAGGTCATGTAGGAATTTGAAGTTCACTCATAGCATCATCATCTTCACCCAGGCTATTATGCACAGAGTCCTGTCAGGAAATGTTCCTCTTATAATGACACAGTTCTAATGTGCAGCCACTGTAGAACAGCTCGCAGCAGGCCGTGTACAGTGTTCTGCGGTCAGCTCCTCATTAGCATTCAGGTGAGACGGTGAGGGAGGGAAAGGAGAAAGTCCAGCCCTGCCGTGTGTTGTCAATGCAAACGCACACAGAGCAAACACTGGCTCATGCAGAGCCATGATTGCTCTAGATGCAAATCAATATTGAGGCTGTTTGTGCTATTTGTGGATGTGTTAGATGAGGACTCACATCATACACGATGATGTGCTGTGGGATGTGAGCCTTCCTCTGCCTGCAGTGTCAATGCAGTAGAGTTGCTTCCTTGTCATTGTAGCTCATTGCTCTTAGCCCTGTCTCTCGCCTACGCAGCAAACTAATGCGTTGTCATGGTTTCACCCTGATGTGCATGGGTATGTGAGCCGCAGTTATGGTGTAAAACTGGCATCCTTCAATCATAATATATATTTATGTCCTCAATTCTGTTCCCAAGGTCATAGAAGAGAGAATGTAACACTGTCTAATGTACCCAAACACAGCACTATTACTGCCTGATCCCATTTATTAGATGTGCTTGTGTCTATCTCTGGACCTGTTTTGACATTTTGATGTTTTTCTACAGGAGCAAAGTTCACAAGAAAGTAAAGATGTGGTAAGTGCAGATTTCCTCTCATCTACTGCATAGAACACAGAGATCATGGCGCATACTTTTTTTTTTTTTTTCATAAATCAAGCTGATCCAATAGTGACCCAAAGAGAAGAAAGTTCTTGAGAAGCATTTTAACTTTATGTGAACAACTTGACTAAACATGAATTCACATTTAATTTTTAGTAAGACCCTTTAGGAAAGCTCCAACTATAACAAAACTAATTATTTTGACCTGATGTTAAACTAATTGGAAGGATATTCAACTGTTGTGAATATCTGTATTTTTGACCTTTTTAATTGTAATTAGCTGCATGTATGAAACATTACGGTCAATCATTACATGCCCACTCTGTTAGGTCATTAAATTTAATAAAATAAGATTTAGACTTAGACTTAGACAGACTTTATCAAAAGGGAAATTACATGGACACAGTAGCTCACACATCACACAATATATTAGAATAAAGACAAAAAATATAAATTGTAATAATAAATTCTAAATAGGTAGCAAAAATAGAAAGTGTAACTAAACCATTCAAAAGTTTGTTGCTGTGTTGTACATTCCTCAGTATCCAGTGATGGAAGAAATACTTAGTTTTGTTTTTTGTTTGTTTCTTGTTTTTTGTCAAAAGTACAGCTACTGGAGCAAAAAATACTCAAGTAAAAGTATCCCATGAAAAAAAATCTACTTAAATAAAAGTATTAAAGCTTGAAATGTGTTAATGAGGTGGTTTTGTTAAATATTGGTACAGAAAAAAATTCAGTCAATAGGTTTTCCCCTTTTTTACCTGGATTCAAGGCAAAACCCTGAGACTTTTCTGCAGGTCTCAGACAATAATAACAAGTATATTTCAGTGACAGTTCAAAAATGCAGTGGAATAGAAAGTACAGATAACTGCTCTCTAATGTATTGAAGTAAAAGTAAAATTTATCCACTGTAAAATCTACTTAAGTAAAGTACAGACAAATAATATTTTTACTTAAGTACAGTACTTTGCTTTGTTACATTCCACTACTGCTGTATTGTACTCATTGCCAAAGGACTTATTACAATGGAATGATCATCACAATGGCTCTTCATCATTAGAATCCTGTGAGTATGGTGCATTAGTTATTCAAGCTGCCATGCTGTGCTCTTGATGTCTCGTGATGGGGAGGACAGTGAGAGCAGATGGGTGTCTGCAGGAGTCTCCGGTTTGTTCTTTTCAGCACCATGTTCTTTGACCAGGGTGACGTCTTTGTCCGTCCTGGTGATCCACTGAAACAGACAAACAGACAGGAACCACCATGAGGAGGGCTGCAGTGTGCTTGATTCAGCTTTTAATTATAGCCAAAGCGAGTAAAGAGGACACAAGGAGGAAGAGTCTGAGGTGCCAGTTACATTCAAAATAAGCCACAGAGAAATGTTATGGTTTCATTGTTTATCTCATTATAAATAAATAATTCATCTTTGAGGTTATCTGTTACCGTGGAGATTGTAGCCCATTGATAGTGTTTTTCCTCCCATATTGTATCTGGCTCACGTTGTGCTGACACTGCACTACGGTCAGGATGCTCCAGGTGACTTTCGCATGCGCACACCCTCTGTAGCCTCTGCACCAGCTCTGTGCTCTTCTACCTCAGGTGTGGGGAGCACTACAGAGCAGAAGATGCTGGAGCTTGTATCTATAGTTTAGCCTTAGGATGTTGTGGTTTGGCTGGCTTCAGCCATTGGCTACTCTTAGATAACAAAGCTAAAGGGCTGGAGGCTCAGCAGAACTGTGCACAGCAGCATCAGTGATGTCACAGCGCTAATCTCTCTGGGGGGATTGGCGGATGGACGCTTGTCAGAAACATTGGATGCTACCCTGGATGAAAGCGGCTGTGAGACAGCGCTCCTGCTTTAGCTGGTCTGTTCATGGAGCGGTGGGAGTGAGCTTGTTGCCGTATTCCAGCATGGGAAGCTCAGGGAGACAGAAGAGCTGAGGAACGGAGGTTATAAGCCGTCAGACCTCTTTATTTTCCCTGACTCACAGCCTCACAGGAGGTGTGGGAGTCTCAGTAGGGCTAGGGCCCTGAGCCTTTGCTCTCATCTTACTTCTGCTGCCAGCACAAGAGGAGTTAGCAGCCTCCATTAGCCACTATGCTTACAGTGGACCACACTACAGGATTTGTTTATCAGGTGGGTGATCTATTTGATCATTTACTAGTTTGCGTTATAGACTGATTTTGTTATTTGATTTCATTATTATAATTATTTTATTTAAATTGACATTTGCCTTAAAAGCGTCATACAGTATATGATATTGCATGTGTAAGGAATAGGATGTGGGGTGAGGCAGAGCTGCTTGTGCTGATGTGCACA